ACCCTAACCCTAACCCTAACCCTAACCCTAACCCTAACCCTAACCCTAACCCTAACCCTAACCCTAACCCTAACCCTAACCCTAACCCTAACCCTAACCCTAACCCTAACCCTAACCCTAACCCTAACCCTAACCCTACCCTACCCTATCCTGTCAACTGTGCTTTTGTCAATTGCACTCCTCTCAATTGTGCTCCTGTCGATTCAGCTCCTCATGATTGCCCTCCTCTTGATTGAGCTTCTGTCAATTGCGCTTCTCTTGATTGAACTCTTGTCGATCGAGCTCTTGTCGATTGCACTACTGCAGCAGAGTGAGTGCTCCAGTCGATTGCACTCCTGTCGATAGCGCTCCTCTTGGTTGCGCTCCTGTCGATTGAGCTCCTGTCGATTGCGCTCCTCTCGAATGCTCTGCTCTCGATTGCGCTCCTGTCGATTGCGCTGCTACAGCAGAGTGAGCACTCCTCTCTCTTGCACTCCTCTCTCTTGCACTCCTCTCTCTTGCACTCCTCTCTCTTGCGCTCCTGTCGAATGCGCTGCTCTCTCCTGCTCTGCTCTCAAGTGAGCTCCTGTCGATTGTGGTCCTCCTGGTTGTGCTCCTCTCGATTGCACTGCTGCAGCAGAGTGAGCGCTCCTGTCAAATGCTCTGCTCTCGAATGCGTCCCTCTCGATCGCGCTCCTCTTGATGAGCTCCTGTCGATTGCACTGCTCTCTCCTGTGCTCCTGTCGATTGCTCTGCTTTCGATTGCACTACTGTCGATTTCTCTTCTCTTGATAGCACTCCTCTTGATTGCGCTCTTCTTGATTGTGATCCTCTTGATTGCGCTCCTCTTGATTGGTCTCCTGTCGATTGCGCTGCTGCAGCAGAGTGAGTGCTGCTCTCGATCGAGCTCCTCTAGATTGCGCTGCTGCAGCAGAGTGAGCACTCCAGTTGATTGAGCTCCTGTCAATTGCGTTCGTCTTAATTGAGCTCCTGTCGATCGTGCTGCTCCAGCAGAGTGAGCGCTCCTGTCGATTGTGCTCCTGTCAATTGCGCTCTTGTCAATTGTACTCCTCTCAATTGTGCTGCTCTCGATTGCGCTCTTGTCGATTGTACTCCTCTCAATTGTGCTGCTCTCAATTGTGCTCTTGTTGATTGTACTCCTCTCTCTTGCGCTCATGTTGATTGCGCTCCTCTCTCCTGCGCTCCTGTCGATTGAGCTCCTCTTTGCTGCTCTTCTCTTCATTGCGCTCCTGTCGATTGTGCTTCTCCAGCAGAGTGTGTGCTTCTCCAGCAGAGTGTGTGCTTCTCTCGATTGCGCTGCTCTTGATCGAGTTCCTGTTGATTGCACTCCTGTCAATTGAGCTCCTCCTAATTGCGCTCGAATTGCGCTCCTGTCGATTGCGCTCCTCTCGATTGCGCTCCTCTCGATTGCACTCGTCTTGATTGTGCTCCTGTCGATATAGCTCCTCTCTCCTGCTCTCCTCTCGATTGCGCTCCTGTCGATTGAGCTCCTCTTTGCTGCTCTTCTCTTGATTGCGCTCCTCTCCATTGCGCTCCTCTCCAATGAGCTCCTGTTGATTGCGCTCCTCTCGATAGAGTTCCTTTCGATTGCACTGCTCTTGATTGTGCTGCTCCAGCAGAGTGAGCACTCCTCTTGGATGCTCTGATCTCAGTTGCGCTCCTGTCAATTGCGCTCCTCTTGATTGCCCTCTTTTCGATTGCGCTCCTCTCTCTTGCTCTGCTCTCGATTGCGCTCCTCCAGCATAGTGTTCGCTGCTTCGAATTGAACTCCTGTCGAATGCGCTGCTCTTGATTGTGCTGCTTCAGCAGAGCTAGCGCTCCTGTCGATTGCGCTCCTGTCGATTGCTCTGCTCTCAATTGCGCTCCTCTCTCTTGCTCTGCTCTCTCTTGCACTCCTGTCGATTGCACTCCTGTTGATAGAGTTCCTGTCGATTGCTCTTCTCTTGATTGCGCTCCTGTCGATTGTGCTGCTCCAGCAGAGTGAGCGCTCCTCTCGATTGCGCTCCTCTCGATTGTGCGCATTGCAGCAGAGTGAGCTCTCCTCTCGAATGCTCTGATCTCAGTTGCGCTCCTGTCGATTGCGCTGCTCTCAATTGCGCTCCTCTCTCTTGCTCTGCTCTCTCTTGCACTCCTGTCGATTGCGCTCCTCTCTGCTGCTCATCTCTCGATTGCGCTCCTGTCGACTGTGCTTTTGTCGATTGCACTCCTCTTGATTGCGCTCCTGTCGATTGCGCTCCTGTTGATTGCGCTCCTGTCGATAGACCTCCTCTTGATTGCGCTCCTGTCGATTGCGCTCCTGTCGATTGCTCTCCTGTCGATTGCGCTCTTGTTGATAGAGCTCCTCTCAGCTGCTCTGCTCTCCCCTGCGCTCCTGTCGATTGCGCTCCTCTCTCTTGCTCTGCTTTTGATTGCGCTGCTCTGAGTTGGGCTTCTGCAACAGAGTGTGCACTGTCAAGCAGTGCACTCCTCTTAATTACGCTGTCCAGCAGTGTGCTGCTAGCTGTGAGGCACGAGGAAAATATCAGTCACATGTGGTAGATGTTAGATCAAAAAGGGGTTACATAACACAGGTCACATGTCAAAAAGGTTAGATCAAAACAATAATTTCAAAGTATCAGTAATGTGCGCAAAATACTAGATCGAAACAAAGAACACATATTTAACAAAAGGTACGAAAATATGAGGTCGAAATAGAGGTCACAAAATGTTAGACGCGTCTCAAGAATGTTAGATTGAATCTGATGTCAAAAATAAATGTTGGTCAACATGCTCCAAATGTTAGATCGGGTTTGAAATGACGGTTAGTCTTGTGCTCCTTCGACTTGTGCTCCTCCAGCAGAGTGAGCGCTGTTCAGCAGTGCGCTCCTCTTGATTGTGCTGCTCCAGCAAAGTGTGCGCTGCTCTCGATCGAGCTCCTCTAGATTGTGCTGCTCCAGCAGAGTGAGCGCTCCTCTTGATTGCGCTCCTCTCTGCTGCTCTGCTCCCGATTGCGCTCCTCTCGGTTGCTCTCCTCTCGATTGCGCTCCTCTCAATTGTGCTCCTCTCTCTCGCTCTGCTCTCTCTTGCACTACTGTCGATTGCGCTCCTCTCTCCTGCTCTGCTCTCAATTGCGCTTTTGTCTCTTGCTCTGCTCTCGTTTGCGCTCCTGTCAATTGCGCTCCTCTGCAATGAGCTCCTGTCGATTGCGCTCCTGTCGATTGCTCTGCTCTCGATTGCGCTCCTGTCCATTGTGCTGCTATTGATTGAGCTCTGTGCTGTTATCAATTGCGCTCCTCTCTCTTCCTATGCTCTCGAGTGAGCTCCTGTCGATTGCGCTCCTCTCGATTGCGCTGCTGCAGCAGAGTGCTCGCTCCTGTTGCTTGCACTCCTCTTGATTGTGCTCCTGTCGATTGAGCTGCTGTTGATTGCACTTTTGTCAATTGCGCTCCTGTCGATTGCGTTCGCCTTGATTGCACTCATGTCGATTGTGCTGCTCCAGCAGAGTGAGCGCTCCTCTCGATTGCGCTCCTCTCGATTGTGCTCCTCTCGATTGCGCTGCTCTCAATTGCACTGCTCTCAATTGCACTGCTCTCAATTGTGCTGCTCTGACAGAGTGTGCGCTGTCCAGCAGTTCGCTGATGAGATTGCGCTTCTCAGATTGCGTTGCTCCAGCTGTGCGTTGCTCTTGAGCTGTGTGTTGCTCTTGAGCTGTGCGTTGCTCTCGAACAGTGTGTTGCTCTCGAGCTGTGCGCTGTTCAGATTGCGTTGCTCCAGCAGAGTGTTAGCTGCTTCGAATTGCGCTCCTGTCGATTGCGCTTCTGTCGATTGTGCTTCTCCAGCAGAGTGTGCACTCCTGTCGATTGAGCTCCTCTCGATTGCGCTCCTCTCTGCTGCTCGTCTCTAGATTGCTCTCCTGTCGATTGCACTCCTCTCTCCTGCTCTCCTCTCTCCTGCTCTCCTCTCTCTTGCACTCCTCTCTCCTGCTCTCCTCTCTCCTGCTCTCCTCTCTCTTGCACTCCTGTCGATTGCGCTCTTCTTTTTTGCGCTCCTCCAGCATAGTGTTCGGTGCTTCGAATTGTGCTCCTATCGATTGCACTCCTGTCGATTGAACTCGTCTTGATTGCACTCCTCTCGATTGCACTCCTCTCAATTGCGCTTCTCTCTCTCGCTCTGCTCTCTCTTGCGCTACTGTCGATTGCGCTCCTCTCTCCTGCTCTGCTCTCGATTCCGTGCCTGTCGATTGAGCTCCTGTCGATTGCGCTCCTGTCTCTTGCTCTGCTCTCGATTGCGCTCCTCTCTGGTGCTCGTCTCTCAGTTGCGCTCCAGTCGATTGCGCTCCTCTTAATTGAGCTCCTGTCGATTGCACTCCTGTCAAATTGCGCTCCTCTTAATTGCGCTCGATTTGCGCTCCTGTCGATTGTGCTTCTCCAGCAGAGTGTGCACTTCTCTCGATTGAGCTCCTCTCGATTGCGCTGCTCTTGATTGAGTTCCTGTCGATTGCACTCCTGTCGATTGTGCTCCTCTTAATTGCGCTCGATTTGCGCTCCTGTCGATTGCGCTGCTCTAGCAGAGTGTTTGCTCCTTCGATTGTGCTTCTCCAGCAGAGTGAGCGCTCCTGTCGATAGAGCTCCTCCAGATTGTGCTGCTCCAGCAGAGTGTGACCTCCTCTCGATTGCTCTGTTTTCGATTGCGCTCCTGTCCATTGTGCTCCTGTTGATTGCACTCCTGTCGATTGCACTCCTCTCTCTTGCTCTGCTCTCGATTGGGCTCCTCTCGATTGCACTTCTGTCGATTGTGCTCCTGTCGATTGTGCTCCTGTCGATTGGTCTCCTGTTGATTGAGCTCCTCTCTTCTGCTCTTCTCTCGATTGCGCTCCTGTAGATTGCGCTCCTCTCCAATGAGCTCCTGTCGATTGCGCTCCTGTCAATTGTGCTCCTGTCGATAGAGCTCCTGTCGATTGCGCTGCTCTTGATTGTGCTGCTCCAGCAGAGTGAGCGGTCCTCTCGATTGCGCTGCTGCAGCAGAGTGCTCGCTCCTGTCATTTGCACTCCTCTTGATTGCGCTCCTGTCGATTGAGCTGCTGTTGATTGCACTTTTGTCGATTGCGCTCCTGTAGATTGCGTTCGTCTTGATTGCGCTCCTCTTGATTGTGCTCCTGTCGATTGCGCTGCTCTTGATTGTGCTGCTCCAGCAGAGTGAGCGCTCCTCTCGATTGCGCTCCTCTCTCTTGCTCTGCTCTCAATTGCGCTCCTCTCAATTGCGCTACTCTCGATTGCGGTCCTGTCGATAGAGCTCCTGTCGATTGCACTCCTCTCTCTTGCGCTCCTGTCGATTGCTCACCTCTCTCCTGCGCTCCTGTCAATACAGCTCCTGTCGATTGTGCTCCTCTCTATTGTGCTCCTCTCTATTGTGCTCCTCTCTCTTGCACTCCTCTCTCTTGCACTCCTGTTGATTGCACTCCTGTCAATTGCGCTCCTCTCTCTTGCTCTGCTCTCGATTGAGCTCCTCTCGATTGCACTTCTGTCGATTGCGCTCTTGTCGATAGAGCTCCTCTCTACTGCTCTGCTCTCGATTGCGCTCCTGTAGATTGCTCTCCTGTCGATTGCGCTCCTGTCGATGGGTCTCCGGTCGATTGGTCTCCTGTCAATTGAGCTCCTCTCTTCTGCTCTTCTTTCGATTGCGCTCCTGTCGATTGCGCTGCTGCAGCAGAGTGGGTATTCCAGTCGATTGCGCTCCTCTCTCCTGCTCTGCTCTCGATTGCGCTCCTGTCGATTGCGCTCCTGTTGATTGCGCTCCTGTCGATAGACCTCCTCTTGATTGCGCTCCTGTCGATTGCTCTGCTCTCCATTGCACTCCTATCTCCTGCTCTTCTCTCGATTGCACTCCTCTCTCCTGCTCTGCTCTCGATTGCACTCCTGTCGATTGCGCTCCTCTCTGCTGCTCATCTCTCGATTGCGCTCCTGTCGACTGTGCTTTTGTCGATTGCACTCCTCTTGATTGCGCTCCTGTCGATTGCGCTCCTGTTGATTGCGCTCCTGTCGATAGACCTCCTCTTGATTGCGCTCCTGTCGATTGCTCTGCTCTCAGTTGCGCTCCTGTCGATTGAGCTCCTCTCTCCTGTTCTGCTCTCTCTTGCGCTCCTCTCCATTGCACTCCTCTTGGTTGCGCCCCTCTTGATTGCGCTCCTCTCTGCTGCTCTTCTCTAGAATGCGCTCCTGTCGATTGCTCTGCTCTCGATTGAGTTCCTGTCGATTGCGCTGCTCTTGATTGAGCTCCTGTCGAATGCACTCCTGTCGATTGCGCTCCTCTCTGCTGCTCGTCTCTAGATTGCTCTCCTGTCGATTGCGCTCCTCCCTCTTGCACTCGTCTTGATTGTGCTCCTGTCGAACGTGCTGCTCTCTCCTGCTCTGCTCTCGAGTGAGCTCCTCTCGATTGCGCTCCTGTCGATTGCGCTTCTGTCGATTGCGCTCTTGTCGATAGAACTCTTCTCTCCTGCTCTGCGCTCGATTGCGCTCCTGTCAATTGAGCTCCTCATGATTGCCCTCCTCTTGATTGAGCTTCTGTCGATTGTGCTGCTCTTGATTGAACTCTTGTCGATCGAGCTCTTGTCGATTGCGCTGCTGCAGCAGTGTGAGTACTCTTTTCGATTGCGCTCCTCTCTCTTGCTCTGCTCTCGATTGCGCTCCTGTCGATTGTGCTGCTCCAGCAGAGTGAGCGCTCCTCTCTCCTGCTCTGCTCTCGATTTCGCTCCTCTCTCCTCCTCTGCTCTCGATTTCGCTCCTGTTGATTGCGCTCCTGTTGATTGCGCTCCTGTCGATAGACCTCCTCTCTCCTGCTCTGCTCTCGATAGAGCTCCTGTCGATAGAGCTCCTGTCGATTGCTCTTCTCTTGATTGCGCTCCTGTCGATTGTGCTGCTCCAGCAGAGTGTGCGCCTCTCTCGATTGAGCTCCTCTCGATTGCGCTGTTCTTGATCGAGTTCCTGTCGATTGCACTCCTGTCAATTGCGCTCCTCTTGATTGCGCTCCTCTCTGCTGCTCTTCACTCGATTGCGCTCCTGTCAATTGCGCTCCTCTCCAATGAGCTCCTGTCGATTGCGCTCCTCTTGATTGCGCTCCTGTCGATTGCTCTGCTCTCGATTGCGCTCCTGTCCATTGTGCTGCTCTTGATTGAGCTGCTGCAGCAGAGTGCTCGCTCCTGTCGATTGCACTCCTCTTGATTGCACTCCTGTCGATTGAGCTGCTGTTGATTGCACTTTTGTCGATTGCGCTCCTGTCGATTGCTTTCGTCTTGATTGCGCTCCTCTTGATTGTGCTCCTGTCGATTGCGCTGCTCTTGATTGTGCTGCTCCAGCAGAGTGAGCGCTCCTCTCGATTGCGCTCCTCTCAATTGCTCTGCTCTCAATTGCCCTGCTCTCGATTGCACTCCTCTCAATTGCGCTCCTCTCAATTGCGCTACTCTCGATTGCACTCCTGTCGATAGAGCTCCTGTCGATTGCACTCCTCCCTCTTGCGCTACTGTCGATTGCTCACCTCTCTCCTGTGCTCCTGTCGATAGAGCTCCTCTCTCTTGCACTCCTCTTGATTGTGCTCCTGTCAATTGTGTTCCTGTCGATTGCTCTCCTGTTGATTGAGCTCCTCTCTGCTGCTCTTCACTCGATTGCCCTCCTCTCTCTTGCTCTGCTTTCGATTGCGCTGCTCTGAGTTGTGCTTCTGCGACAGAGTGTGCACTGTCAAGCAGTGCGCTCCTCTTAATTACGCTGTCCAGCAGTGCGCTGCTAGCTGTGAGGCACGAGGAAAACATCAGTCACATGTGGTGGATGTTAGATCAAAAAGGGGTTACATAACACAGGTCACATGCCAAAAAGGTTAGATCGATACAATGTTTTCAAAGTATCAGTAATGTGCGCAAAATACTAGATCGAAACAAAGAACACATATTTAACAAAAGGTGCGAAAATATGAGGTCGAAATAGAGGTCACAAAATGTTAGACACATCTCAAGAATGTTAGATTGAATCTGATGTCAAAAATAAATGTCGGTCAACGTGCTCCAAATGTTAGATCGGGTTTGAAATGATGGTTAGTCTTGTGCTCCTTCGACTTGTGCTCCTCCAGCAGAGTGAGCGCTGTTCAGCAGTGCGCTCCTCTTGATTGTGCTGCTCCAGCAAAGTGTGCACTGCTCTCGATCGAGCTCCTCTAGATTGTGCTGCTGCAGCAGAGTGAGCACTCCAGTCAATTGAGCTCCTGTCGATTGCGCTCCTCTCAATTGCGCTCCTGTCTCTTGCTCTGCTCTCGATTGCGCTCCTGTCGTTTGCGCTCCTCTGCATTGAGCTCCTGTCGATTGCACTCCTGTCGATCGTGCTCCTGTCGAATGCGCTGCTCTCTCCTGCTCTGCTCTCGATTGCGCTCCTGTCGATTGAGCTCCTCTCGATTGCCCTCCTCTTGATTGAGCTCCTGTCGATAGAGCTCCTCTCTCTCGCTCTTCTCTCGATTGTGCTGCTCCAGCATAGTGTTCGCTGCTTCGAATTGCGCTCCTCTCGTTTGCGCTCCTGTCGATTGTGTTGCTCCAGCAGAATGAGCGGTCCTGTCGATTGCTCTGCACTCAATTGCGCTCCTGTCGATTGCTCTGCTCTCAGTTGCGCTCCTGTCGATTGAGCTCCTCTCTCCTGTTCTGCTCTCTCTTGCGCTCCTCTCCATTGCACTCCTCTTGATTGCGCCCCTCTTGATTGCGCTCCTCTCTGCTGCTCTTCTCTTGATTGCACTCCTCTTGATTGTGCTCCTGTCAATTGCGCTCCTGTCGATTGAGCTCCTCTCGATTGCACTCCTCTCAATTGCGCTGCTCTCTCTCGCTCTGCTCTCTCTTGCGCTGCTCTCTCTTCCTCTCCTGTTGATTGCGTTCGTCTTAATTTCACTCCTCTCTCTTGCTCTGCTCTCGATTGAGCTCCTCTTAGTTGCGCTCCTGTTGATTGCTCTCCTCTCTCTTGCTCTGCTCTCTTTTGCGTTACTGTCGATTTGCGCTCCTCTTAATTGCGCTCCTCTCTCTCGTTCTGCTCTCTCTTGTGCTCCTGTTGATTGAGCTCCTGTCGATTGCGCTCCTTTCGATTGTGCTACTCCAGCAGAGTGAGCGCTCCTCTCTGCTGCCCTTCTCTAGAATGCGCTCCTGTCGATTGCTCTGCTCTCAATTGAGTTCCTGTCCATTGCGCTGCTCTTGATTGAGCTCCTGTCGAATGCACTCCTGTCGATTGCGCTCCTCTCTGCTGCTCGTCTCTAGATTGCTCTCCTGTCGATTGCGCTCCTCTCTCTTGCACTCGTCTTGATTGTGCTCCTGTCGAACGTGCTGCTCTCTCCTGCTATGCTCTCGAGTGAGCTCCTCTCGATTGCGCTCCTGTCGATTGCGCTTCTGTCGATTGCGCTCTTGTCGATAGAACTCTTCTCTCCTGCTCTGCGCTCGATTGCGCTCCTGTCAATTGAGCTCCTCATGATTGCCCTCCTCTTGATTGAGCTTCTGTCGATTGTGCTGCTCTTGATTGAACTCCTGTCGTTCGAGCTCTTGTCGATTGCGCTGCTGCAGCAGTGTGAGTACTCTTTTCGATTGCGCTCCTCTCTCTTGCTCTGCTCTCGATTGCGCTCCTGTCGATTGTGCTGCTCCAGCAGAGTGAGCGCTCCTCTCTCCTGCTCTGCTCTCGATTTCGCTCCTCTCTCCTCCTCTGCTCTCGATTTCGCTCCTGTCGATTGCGCTCCTGTTGATTGCGCTCCTGTCGATAGACCTCCTCTCTCCTGCTCTGCTCTCGATTTCGCTCCTGTCGATAGAGCTCCTGTCGATTGCTCTTCTCTTGATTGCGCTCCTGTCGATTGTGCTGCTCCAGCAGAGTGTGCGCTTCTCTCGATTGAGCTCCTCTCGATTGCGCTGCTCTTGATTGAGTTCCTGTCGATTGCACTCCTGTCAATTGCGCTCCTCTTGATTGCGCTCCTCTCTGCTGCTCTTCACTCGATTGCGCTCCTGTCACTTGCACTCGTCTTGATTGTGCTCCTGTCGATTGTGCTCCTGTCGAATGCGCTGTTCTCTCCTGCTCTGCTCTCGAGTGAGCTCCTGTCGATTGTGGTCCTCTTGATTGAGCTCCTCTCATTTGCGCTGCTGCAGCAGAGTGAGCGCTCCTGTCGAATGCTCTGCTCTCGAATGTGTCCCTCTCGATTGCGCTCCTCTTGAAGAGCTCCTGTCGATTGCGCTGCTCTCTTCTGCGCTCCTGTCAATTGCTCTGCTTTCGATTGCACTACTGTCGATTGCTCTTCTCTTGATAGCACTCCTCTTGATTGCGCTCCTCTTGATTGTGATCCTCTTGATTGCGCTCCTCTTGATTGGTCTCCTGTCGATTGTGCTGCTGCAGCAGAGTGAGCGCTCCAGTCGATTGAGCTCCTGTCGATTATGCTCTTGTCGAATGAGCTCCTGTCAATTGCTCTGCTCTCAATTGAGTTCCTGTCAATTGCGCTGCTCTTGATTGAGCTCCTGTCGAATGCACTCCTGTCGATTGCGCTCCTCTCTGCTGCTCGTCTCTAGATTGCTCTCCTGTCGATTGCGCTCCTGTCGAGTGAGCTCCTCTCTCTTGCTCGGCTCTCGATTGAGCTCCTCTCGATTTCACTCCTCTTAATGGCACTCCTCCTGATTGTGCTCCTGTCGATTGAGATCCTGTCGATAGACCTCCTCTCTCCTGCTCTGCTCTCGATTTGGCTCCTGTCGATTGCTCTCCTGTCAATTGAGCTCCTGTCGATTCCGCTCCTGTCGATAGACCTCCTCTCTCCTGCTCTGCTCTCGATTGCGTTCCTGTCGATTGTGCTCCTGTCGATTGCGCTCCTTTGGATTGCGCTCCTGTCGATAGAGCTCCTGCCGATTGCTCTTCTCTTGATTGAGCTTCTGTCGATTGTGCTGCTCTTGATTGAACTCCTGTCGATCGAGCTCTTGTCGATTGCGCTGCTGCAGCAGAGTGAGTACTCCTGTCGATTGCGCTGCTCTCTGCTGCTCGTTTCTCGATTGCGCTCCTGTGGATTGCGCTTCTCTCCAATCAGCTCCTGTCAATTGCGCTCCTGTTGATTGCGCTCCTGTCGATTGCACTCCTGTCGATAGAGCTCCTGCCAATTGCTCTTCTCTTGATTGCGCTCCTGTTGATTACTCTGCTCCAGCAGAGTGAGTGCTCCTGTCGAATGCTCTGCTCTCGATTGAGCTCCTGTCGATTGTGCTCCTCTTAATTGCGCTCGATTTGCGCTCCTGTCGATTGCGCTGCTCTAGCAGAGTGTTTGCTCCTTCGATTGTGCTTCTCCAGCAGAGTGAGCGCTCCTGTCGATAGAGCTCCTCCAGATTGTGCTGCTCCAGCAGAGTGTGACCTCCTCTCGATTGCTCTGTTTTCGATTGCGCTCCTGCCCATTGTGGTCCTGTTGATTGCACTCCTGTTGATTGCACTGCTCTGGAATGTGCTGCTCCAGCAGAATGAGCGGTACTGTCGATTGCTCTGCTCTCGATTGAGCTCCTCTCGATTGCGCTGCTCTTGATTGAGCTCCTGTCGAATGCACTCCTGTCGATTGCGCTCCTCTCAATTGCGCTCCTCTCTCTCGCTCTGCTCTCTCTTGCGCTACTGTCGATTGCGCTCCTCTCTCCTGCTCTGCTCTCGAGTGAGCTCCTGTCGATTGCTCTCCTGTCGATTGCTCTCCTGTCCATTGAGCTCCTGTCCATTGAGCTCCTGTCCATTGAGCTCCTTTCGATTGTGCTCCTGTCGAATGCACTCCTGTCGATTGCGCTCCTCTCCGCTGCTCGTCTCTAGATTGCTCTCCTGTCGATTACGCTCCTCTCTCTCGCTCTGCTCTCTCTTGCGCTACTTTCGAATGCGCTGCTCTCTCCTGCTCTGCTCTCTCTTGCACTACTGTTGATTGTGCTCCTCTCTCCTGCTCTGCTCGTGATTGCGCTCCTCTCGATTGCGCTGCTGCAGCAGAGTGCTCGCTCTTGTCGCTTGCACTCCTCTTGATTGTGCTCCTGTTGATTGAGCTGCTGTTGATTGCACTTTTGTTGATTGCGCTCCTGTCAATTGCGTTCGTCTTGATTGCGCTCATGTCGATTGTGCTGCTCCAGCAGAGTGAGCGCTCCTCTCGATTGCGCTCCTCTCGATTGCGCTGCTCTCAATTGCACTGCTCTCAATTGTGCTGCTCTCAATTGTGCTGCTCCAACAGAGTGTGCGCTGTCCAGCAGTTCGCTGATGAGATTGCGCTTCTCAGATTGCGTTGCTCCAGCTGTGCATTGCTCTTGAGCTGTGCGTTGCTCTCGAACAGTGCGTTGCTCTCGAGCTGTGCGCTGCTCAGATTGCGTTGCTCCAGCTGTGAGTGCGTTGCTCCAGCTGTGCGTTGCTCAATTTGCGCTGCTCCAGCGAAAATAAATTTGTTTGCGTTGCAGCACTTGAGCAGTGTAAATTTCGAGTGCGTTGGGGGTCAACGCAGTCGCGTGAATTTCGAATTTGGCGGAGCGCAATTGTGCGTTGCCCGCAAGCAAGACACACCGGCTAGGGCTAGGGCTAGGAAGAGGTTGCGCTGGCTGACCAATGTGTTGGTGTGCTGCAGCTTGACCAGCTCTGTGCCTCTTGCCGGCAGACCACTGGTGAGCTCAATGAGCACAGCAAGGAGCTTGTTGAACTCATTGTGAAGGGCAAAGTAGGCATGGGCAGCAGCCATGTCAAACTCTGGCTCTGCTGAGCAAGTATCAAGGAGTGGTTGATGCTGAGGAAAGCCTTTGAGAGCCTGACGGAGGCAAAAGGTGCCAGTATCTTGCTTTGTAGCAGTAACAAAGCTGTAGCCTGGCTCCCTGTTGCAGAAGTGGTCCTTGTATGTAGACAGATCCACATGCTCAGACAAGGCACCATCCTTCAGCAGCAGCTGCTCCAACAGAGAGGTGGCACGGTCCAAGGTGCCTTGGACAAGGGTGTGAAGGCGGCTGATCTTGATTGTGTTGGTGCCATAAGTCACCAGCTTCCTATCCTCAGACCACCGGAAGTAGAGGCTGCCGCCATCATCCTTAGCCAGCTTGGTCCCATAGCAGAGAAGGGATTGCAGATGAGCACTTGCCGAGTAGCTGTTGTTGAACAGGTAACGCTTCATAACTGCTTGAACCCCCTTGTTGATCTCTGGGACTGGCTTGCCAATGAGAGTGCCATGCTCTGGGTGGAGAAGGTGGTGATGCATCACTGCACGGAATGCAAACTCCAAGTTGACCAGGATCGAGGTTGCTGTATTGACCGGCTTGGATGTGCCATCAGGAGAGAGGCAGAGGTGGAGGAAGGTGCGTAGCAGAGGAAGACGTTCCAGCTCACCATAGGCAGGAGGATCTTGGGTGATGAGGTAGACACTGATCAACTGGATGCCACTAAATGCTTGCAAAACCACATCAGGATGCATGGAGACATCAACATCCAGATTGGGATCATGGAAGAGGTCCTGAAGGTCCTCAAAGAGCCCTGCAAGCTGTTCACTGATGCCAAGGTGTGCATCCTGATCATCATCACCATAGTAGCCAAGAACCTTGCCATCTAGCATGACATGAGCCAGCATGGTGATGAGCATTGCCCAGCAGTCAGCACACTTGATGACTGTGGGTTGATCAAGGGAGTATGGATGGCTAGGGGTGTCGTCAAAGGCATGGAAGGTTTGCTGCACCTGGCGGCCAGATTGAAGAAGTGCCTCCATCCACTGCTGTGTACACTGTTGTGTCATGCCAAGCAGCCAGTGAAGGAAGTCCTGGTGGGCACCTGGCCACTTGTGAGGGTTGCAGCCAAGGGAACCAATGGCCGCCACTGGCTTGCCAGCCCAGTACTCCTGCCAGCCTAGCTGCTTGAGCCATGGGCTGAGATTGCCAGTCACAGTTCGTGGTTGAATGCCCTCCATGTCCAGATCTGCCTTTGCCATTAGCTCTGCATCCTTGGCAAAGAATGCTTCCAGCTGCTCCTTGAAAGCTGCGTCCTCCTCTGTGTTGATGTTGAAGGCAACAGGAGGGGGTGTAGGCTCGAGCTTGCTGTTGAAGACCCACACATAGCGGGTGAAGGGACCACTGGTGAAGATGGGCTGAATGAGAACAGGGTGGATGACAGAAGCCTTGCCATCATGGCTGCTGCGCTGGTGCTTGTATGCAGAGGAGCTCAACTTGACAGCATACTCGCAGATACTGCAACAGTAGCCATCAAATGTATCAAGCTCCTTGATGAGGTTGATGGGGAGTAGATTGGTGTTGATGCTGACAGTAGCAGGGCTGACAAGGTCGAGAGTAAGGAGTGTCTCCTCCAACAGCTTGATGCCAGTCTTGGTGAGCGGATGATGGTGGGACTTGAGGTGCTGAGACACATTGGCATAGGTTGGGATGAGCGGCAGGTGGTGAGTGCACTCAGGGCGAGTGCAGAGGAGAAGAGAAGGGTGCTGGAGGAGGTGGAGGCGGAAGCTGCAAAGCTGGTTGGCAACCTTCAGATCAACTGGAGCAGCAAGAGCAGTCTGGTTGGCAGCAGGGAGCGGCAAAGTGCTGTTGATGACAAGGAGAGCATAGATAGCACAAGTGACGTCAGTTGATGCTGATCAAGAAGATACACTGGAGAGAGAAGCAGTGTACATACAAGTCATCATCACTGTTGATGGCATCAGAAGGAGCAAGGTCATCAGCTACTGGAGATGGGAAAGCATCATCAGGGTTTGAAAGAGCATTGGCACTGTGCATCGCAAGGTTCTTGATGATGGCAAGAGGAACTTGGCTTTCAGTGAAGGGGTTGATGCTGCTACTGTGACAGTGACAGCAAAGCTCGGTAAGAGACAGAGACTGGTCAGTTGGAGATCAATAGGAACAGGCAAAGGAAGAGGATAATAGCACATACCTGACTGCAGCAGCAGTGTTGATGCTGGCACCAATGGAGATGGAAGATGATTGAGACATTGTAGATTGTGGTTGGTGTTAGCAGCAAGAAGAGCTAGATGTTGCTGGTGTGGTATGGTGCTGAGAGATGTGAGCATTGAGGAGACTTGCCATAGCTGTGAAAGAGGGCTGGTATATATGCTAATGCTGAGGAGCTCAGGTGTTGGCAATGACAAAGTCAAAGGATGCATGTGCAGACACACACACAATGATGATGGGGAACAACAACATTGGATTGCTGAGTGTGGGAATAGAGTACAGGTGGTGATGTGAAAGGTGATGTGCAACAAAGCAATGATGAGAACAAAGGGTTGAAGATCGACTAAGGATTGATGATGAGCAAAGGCCTGGAGGAAACAAGTGGCAATGGTGATGTGTGGTGATGGTGAGAAAAGCAGCAGTGGCAAGAACAAAGGGGTGAGAGCGTAAAGGACAAAGGTGTGAGAGTGTAAGAACAAAGGTTAATGATGTCGACAAAGGTGTGAGAGCATAAAGGACAAAGGCTGATGATGTTGACAAAGGTGTTGCAAGGCTGATTGGTAGTGAGGTGTGAGCGTGAGAGAGAAATGATGTCGACAAAGGTGCTGTAAGGCTGAGCGGTAGTGAGGTGTGAGTGTGAGAGAGAAATGATGTCGACAAAGGTGTTGTAAGGCAGAGTGGTAGTGAGGTGTGAGCATGAGAGAGAACAACAGCTGATGAAGACAAGTGGTGATTATGTTGTGTGGTGATGATGAGAAGTAGTGGCAGCAAGAACAAAGGGCTAAGAGTGCAAAGGAGGCTCATGATGTCGACAAAGGAGTTGTAAGGCTGAGTAGTTGTGGGGTGTAAGTGCAAGAGTTGTGCTGGAGCTCTGCATTGCTCTCGAGCTGTGCGCTGCTCAGATTGCGTTGCTCCAGCAGAGTGTGCGTTGCTCCAGCAGAGTGTGCGTTGCTCCAGCTGTGAGTGCATTGCTCCAGCTGTGAGTGCATTGCTCCAGCTGTGAGTGCGTTGCTCCAGCTGTGAGTGCGTTGCTCTCAAACAGTGTGTTGTTCTCGAGCAGTGCGTTGCTCTTGAGCTGTGTGTTGCTCTCGAACAGTGCGTTGCTCTCGAGCTGTGCGCTGCTCAGATTGCATTGCTCCAGCAGAGTGTGCGTTGCTCCAGCTGTGAGTGCATTGCTCCAGCTGTGAGTGCATTGCTCCAGCTGTGAGTGCGTTGCTCCAGCTGTGCGTTGCTCAATTTGCGCTGCTCCAGCGAAAATAAATTTGTTTGCGTTGCAGCACTTGAGCAGTGTAAATTTCGAGTGCGTTGGGGGTCAACGCAGTCGCGTGAATTTCGAATTTGGCGGAGCGCAATTGTGCGTTGCCCGCAAGCAAGACACACCGGCTAGGGCTAGGGCAAGACTACATATCTCAGCAAGAATCGTGATACCACAAGCGTTGTTGCATATTTCAACAGGATTCGTAATAGACACGATTCTATTACAGATATCAGGTTTTGGGCATGCGACCGCTGACAGTGGTCTACCTTGTGACTGTCCTATGCGATTGAGAGCATGTCCCCCTGTGTGGTAACCTACTGCATGCTCCTGAGCTCGGTCCTCTTCTTGGCTGAACTTGGGCCCTCTCTCTGCATGTGAAACCCTTCCTGGTGTCCTCTCTCTGCCTTTGACAAGGAGGCCTTCTCTATCAAGCCTCCCATTGCTTCCTCATATTCTGTTGATCCATTCCATACTGATGGGGGCTTCTTGCGGCGTGTTTGGTGAAATCAATCTGATGAGTGTATTCTGCCGATTGGAAAACCTCAACGCAGTTGTTTTCCCTGAAATCAACCGGGAACCTGTGTTATGGTTGATTTCGCATTCCGTGCGCTTTTAGGTGCACTTCATCTTCATCTCGGATCTTCTTGTGCAGACCCGATCTTCTGTGCAAGTCCTATGACACCTGTGATACTTTTCAGGCTATCACATATTTGAGCGAGAAAAGTCATAGAAGGCTTCTACAACAGATTTCAGCAAGAATAATAATAAAGGCCTTTTACCACAGATCTTGATAGGATCAGTAGTAGTTGTCTTTCTACTACAGATTTCAGGTTTCAGGGGCATGACCTCTGCCAACCAGTTGATCTCACCGAAATCAACTGGAAGCACCCAAACTGGTTTCAGGTGGGCAACCACTTACAGTATGTTTTCAAAAACTTGCTTGGTAAGCGCTTGCCAGTACCGAAAACCTGAGATGAACTTGCAAGAGCTGCAGAAGAAGTGTGGAACACCCAGATCATGCTCAAACATATCAATTCTGTGATCAAGTTGATAGAGCATTGCATGGAGCAAGTGCTTACTAAGCATGGAGGTCTGCTCAAGTATTAGTTGGCTCCAAGACTCACTGCAATCAAAAGCTCTTCTTTTGGACTTGCTCACTGTGTGTTTTGCTCAGTCTGACACTTATAAGAGATCAGTCCTCCAAGCAGATGGAAGGTATGCTATTGGATGGTTGATTTATTGTCTATTGGACCCTGTCCCCAAACTTCGGGTAGGGACTGTACATGAACTAGGTTACTACAGGGAAACTATGCCAGCTATTTGTTAACCAGCATGCCGACGCCTATTGTGGCAGTCGGTTTGGGCCTATCTGATATATATCTGAATGAGTGAAGTTGACAAAGTGTGTGAGATCGAAAAGGAACTCACATGCTTTCACTTAAGCGCCTCGAGTTTGGCATATGTTCATAAGCCTGTGACACAAACCATCATCAAGTCCATCATCACGCTACATCCAATTGATGACTTCAACTCATCCGTCGATGATATGCCGCCATGACAGGGGGACAAAGGGCCTCGAGACGCTCTTGCCATGTCGAGATGCCACCAGAACGTCAGTCACCTCGCTCGCCGAAACGACAAAGGATTGACTCCTCAACTTTACCGAAATCTCTGCTAGTCTCGCAGCATGAGAGATCAGGGAAGACGAATCATTCTGCCTCTTCTCGTCAGCAAGATCAGGGAATCTGCTTTGCGCTCGCAGCTCCATCCGCGAAAGCTCCAACCCTAGCTGCAAAGCCGTCGCGGCCTTTGGAAAGCTCGAACTCGAGCTTGTCATCTGCAAAGAAAGACGCACCTGCCGCTCACAAACGGAGATTCACACGCAGTCGCTATGGATGCAGCACCTGCCGTGCACGCAAGGTCAAGTGCGACGAAGCCAGACCTCGCTGTCGCCGTTGCCTTGAGGACGGACAAACTTGTGAAGGCTACGGGGAACAACAAGCACCACAACGGGAACAGCATCATTCGTCATTGAACCCATCCTCGTCATCGTCTAAAAAGCAAGCTCTTTCGCAGAGCTATTCCTCCCCCTTTCTTCGTAACGTTCAGGAGTCGTATGATCCTCACTCTCTATCACTTCAGGCCACCACCACAGCAAACGGAGAAGCTTTCGCCGACTACTCTGCCACTTCACCGCAACATTTAGATGACTGGATCGACTTGCTTTGCGCCTCAATCGGAAATGACATGCCTCAACCCGCTCCTTCGACGGTGGTGGCAACATTTCAGAAAGCTTCGACCAAGTACACCACCATGCAACATAAGCAGGTCCAACATCCCGAACCCACATCAGCCTCGATGAGGCTTCCATCGAGCCATCACGATATTTCTTCCTCGAACAGCTCGCGGTCCGCTGACGAGCAAGGTCTGTCCACGCTAGCAAATGCTGCAGTGGCGACGACTCACGCATCTTCGGGATCTGACTCGCCACCTTGGTTGAACGAAGATTGGCTGTCCATCTTGACTGCATCTCCCGCAAACTCGGAACGAGACATCAGCGAAATCTACTCATCCTCAAGCTCAACACTGCCTCGAACTGGCTTGTCCTCCCTAAAACGGATCTCTGAAGCAGATCTACAACGTCGCATTCGAACTCTTTGCGCAACGAAAGTCCAGCTCGAGTCGGTATCATTCTTCTTCAACACAACAGCACGATGCTTTCACCTGCTTTCAGCCGACACAAACGTCTGGAGGATTTTTTTGCTCAACTTGCCTCGGAATCGCCCATCATACTCGACCTGATTGGCTGTCTTGGCCTGACGCATTTGAGCCTTTCACAAGATCACCGTAAGAAGGGCTTGGCGCATGCGCACTTCTCCCGCTGCAAGACCGAATGGGATGGCTTGGTTGGACCCTTGGACACGCCCGAATCCATACAAGCTGCGGCGAAAGATGTCAACACTCCACACCGAACCCTCGAGGCGCTCGCGGGAACTATCCTTATCGCGCACATCGAGCAGTTCAACCGTGGATTTGCCACCAGCTCACGCGCCTACACAGCTGTAGCAATTGCTATCGTTCGTCGAGTGTTGTCTTGCGCGTCAGAGGATACGAGCTCCGCTCCTTGGCTCGAAGAGATGGACCAAGGACCTGGATCTGCTTTCCGATTCTTCGTCCGCATCCTTCTTTGGTGGGAGACCATGTCACGAACCATGGGTCCTGCTAGCGAGCAAGGCGATGTACTTGACATCTTTCAACACGTCTATCGTTGGGAAGAAGTCGACGGCAAGAGCCAGGATCCAGTCGAATGCTTGACACAGTGCGTTGTCGGCTGGCCGCTCGATCTACTCGAAGCTGTCGAACGGACAACACGAACCAGCACGGATGCGGAAGTCTTAGCTTACCAGCCTACGCTTCCTACGTCACCGCCGATTGTGATGCCGTCGGGTACGCTCTCACATGCACTTGAAGGGCATGTTTCCTTGGAATTGCAGCAACAAATTGACAGCGTGGAGACGCAGATACGATTGGCACGACCTCTGCCACTTGCACAGGACGACAGCATTGCTGCTGAGTTGCGGTACCTCATCTTTGAGTGTCTTCAGTCTGCTTCGCTAGTCTACTTCTCGAAAGTGCTACTCAAGTCGACAGACGCAGTTTGGTTCGAGATCGACAAGGTCACACGCTTTTTGGAGCGCAAACAGCAACGTCCAAGCGGAAGCGCTGTCAACTTGGACGTCAGTCAAACTGACACGAATCGCAAAGCACGTCTCAGTCACATTGGCTCAACTTCGGGCTGGTCTAGTTCTGTGCCTGCAGACCAGCAACTCGCGCAGGCAATGGAAACTCGAGGACACTGGTGGATCCGAGCACCAGACGGAGCTCTCATCTGGGCCTACTTCCAGTGCGCCTCCGAGATCTTTGGTGCTTTGGATCCTTCCACTGAGCTCATAATTGCTGTTGCGAATCAGCAAGAACGGCATCAGATCGGAAAAGGCGACCCAGTCAAGCTGGCACTCGGCTCACAGCTGACACTGGGCTCCGAAGCCTACGATGGCTTCGCGCAATCACGATCTGAGCGACGGCAAGGATGTCGAAGATCGCTATTGCTGTGGGAAAGATTCGACGAGGTTCAATGTGTGTTTCTCTGTCGTCATCTGCTCAAAGCCATCTGGGGCCGGCGAGACCTTTATGAAGAGCAAGCTCGTCGTACCAATTCGAAAGACACAGCAGGCTCGATGCCCACCTCTGCGATGGTAAGCAGCCAGGAGAGGTACGATCAAGCCGCCGAGATTGGCGACATCTGTCGGCAACGGCGATGGAGGCAACCTCTGATTTTCTGACGGATTTCGGTGCTTTGAGTGCATATCCTCACTTGTCGATCCACAAGGAATATCAGTTTCATCGAAAGGAAAAAAGTATTTTGCAATAGGCGTAAAGTGCCACGTCAAGCCGATTGGGCAGTGGCGAGTGTCAAGTCAAGATGGAAGCAAAGGTACACATCACGTCGACCTACTGACACAGCGCAAGAAGGTTGGATGAACATTTAGAGGCTGCTGATGTTGGACGAAAATGATGCGGGGCTGCCAGTTCAATCATCAACGTCGACCACATGTGCATTTCTGCTGTGAATGATGGAACTAGATCCAGCGCCTAACTCGATGTGATGTCCCTTAAGCACGGCCTGCCTGACAAGGTTATCGTAAGTGTGTTTGCTCATGGGCAAGATCGCCACGGCCTTCAACACTGCCCTGTCTTCCCGTTGTTCCCGCTCCCACACGACGACAAAGGGCTTCGACACGGGTTCAACGATGCCAATCGTTCGATGGAATGTGATGCAATACGTCTTTCCCTGGAGTTGGAAAGCACGGAGTATGGAGCGCAACCTCAAGGAGCGCCTCATTTCGGCGGTGAACGTCTGCCTCTCCTCAGGAATGACCACTTGCGGCCTCCAAGCGTTTCTCGTGCGGCCTCCCATAGCATTTTCAAAGAAGAACTTGAGGTTCGGCAGGAGATTAGGATCGGGATCATAGATAATGTTGGAAAAAGAGACTGTCGAAGGAGAACTGCTCTCCTGTTGGTGGTCATGTGGTGTCAACCAGTGCATCGGGTCGCGACGTTCAGCAAAATTCCTGGCATCGGTAGACTGGATGGTAATGATGCCAGTTTCTGTTGGTGTGCTTGCGACGGTGTGGAAGATGAAGGCCCTTTTGGTAGCAAAGCTAGTTGCAGTCTCGACGAACTTCCAGTATTTGGGATCGAATGTATACGAGCCACGGCAAATCATAAAGACTTGCTCGCCGTCGGTCTTCAGTTCGAAGACGTAAAGGCCTTGGCTTTTTAGAGTTCGCGAGAGCCTTCCGATGTTGCCACCGACGGTGACGAGGAAACGTCGTTCGAAGAAGACGAGTTCTTTGAACAAACGATCTCCTTTGAGAAAGTAGTTCATGCTCTGAATAAAGTCTTGAAGGCTAGCAACGCCCAGATTTCGCGCACCTCTGGCTTTACTTGGCTCGGCAAAACCGAGGTCTTGCTTCATTTGCGCGACCATTGCCGCGGTCAAGGGATCCTCTTGGTAGACGAAGGAAACATGCTTACCGGATGCTGCCAGTGGATCGATGTCTTGCAAGGCGAGAGCTGCTGGTTGGATGGTGCGCGACGTGGAAGCAGCTTGGGAAAGCCTCTTGGAATCTTGCTTTGGCTGAGGTAGCTTGACAGTGCCTGTAGACGAAGAGCCAGGTAAGGAGGCTTTGCTGCTTGCTTCTTCCATGCTCGGGCGATTCGAGCGGCTGAGCGAGGGAGTTGATTGTTCTGAGGGCTGGTTCTGATGAGGAGGTAGGTCCAAAGGGCGAGTAATAGGAGGCGGCGGGTGCTGCACAGGTGCAAAGTTGAAAGGCGGAGAACCGGACCAGAGTTGTGCGGACCACCGACTACGAGTGTCGTGAGGCCAGAGACCTTGCTGAATCGAGGGGTGGTAGTGTCGCCATTGCTGGAAGGCGCCATGACCAACGGGAAACTGTACGGGAGGATTGCGCACTGGCACAAACATGGACGTCTCTGGTGCGTAATCGAGTGAGGAGGAGGCATGAAGGTAGCCCGGCTGGTGAGGGAGAGGGAGTCGACGTAGCTCGTGATTGGAAGACGGAAGGGGATTGAAAGGACTTGACAAAGGACCAGCTTCACCACGAAGAATGTCTTGAACAGGATGGGTTGAAGAAGAGGCTTGAGCATACCATGCCTGATGAGGGACAGAAAGTTGGTGCAGCTCGCGGTCCAAAGGCGGAATGAGATTGCTCGGGTTGGCCGAGGGACCAGGAGGAGCAGAAGCTTGAGGAAGACGGTTGATAAGATCAGCCAGGCTTGGCGCCTGCTCTGTGCTCTCCAAGAAAGCAGCGGTAGCAGTGAGAGCAGATTTTGGAACAATAGGCGCCAATGCCTTCTGGCAAAAAAGCGAGAGCACGAGGCTGGCTGGATGAAGTGGCAACTTCATGGTTAGAGAGTCTGACTGAGTGACCAGAGTATCTAACTTGTAGAGTGAGAGGGTGCGAGAGAGATGGGAATACGGGCATGTCGATATCTGCAAGCTTGCGGTGGTATTTATTCCTTCGAAGAGCCTCGTCGGAACACTGGGTATGCAAGAGTCGGAGAGATGCTCCCGAATGAAAGAGCCCAGTTCATCTTGGAATTCGACCGTCGGTAGATGTGCTGTTAGATGGATGTGAAGCCGATGTGCCGGAGAAGATGGCGTTCTGCAGGTCGGAGCAAGTTATCGGCGCCGCTTTATGACTGCTTTGCAAGGGCAAAGTAGGTCGTTCTGAGAGTCAGGAGGTGAGAGCTGCATTTCAGTTTGGCTCTCGGCTGTCGAACCAAGGCTGGTGGCATCTTGGGTTCCCAGGAAAGAGGCCACGACAGCATCTACCTTGACGTGACTGGCTCAAGCGACATTAGTTGCAGATGCGAAGGCGGTAAGGATGAAACTCGCTCCATCTTGGCATATATATTTATATATATATATATACTTGAGCTTTTCAGAAGGCTCAGTCGGAAAGGAGGTGACAGGTGGCGATAGAGAAGCGGTGTTGGATGTTAGATTTAGGGACAGCGGGTTTGCGAGGCGAGTGTGAAGCCATGTCACGTGCAGCGGTGAAATGAGAGCTCGCCGGTGAGAATATGAATGAAAGCATGTGACTTGTACTCCGATCTCACATGGACGACAGCTTGACCGTTTCCCCGCTTGTCGTCTTGCTATCATATAGGTATACATCCAACGCTAGGACATATATATATATATATATATATATATAGACTCGTCATTATCTTGTATACATAGCCATAATACATGATCGCAATCGATACTTGTGGTCAACGCTATTTGTCGCACGCCCTTGAACAGTATGTGATGTTCATCGTCCAACTTTATTCGGCGGCCAGCTGCAGAGCATGTCATCAAGAAGCACTCCCAGTGGTTCTGAGCGAGCTCGATTCTCTGCTTCTAAGCCTAACCCGAATGCTGTTGGGTGGGACACTCATCTCGCTCTTGTCTCAGTCGAGATCCGAGCGTTTGCTGTGTCTGCTGTCCACACTAACCTTTTGCTCATGCGGTCTTGTTCGAATTAAGCCCTCTCATCACTGCTGGACGGCTAGACAGAACGAGTCTGGTGACCTGAATGCAAGTGCTCAGAGCCGCCAAGGACGGCCCCGATGGTACAGCTGCCATGAACTGTGCGTTTGAGTCTGAGCTTTGTTAAGCACATCTCCCAAGCTCCCTCCTTTCTCCGTCCTAGCCGAGCTTAGCTTCTGTGCGCCAATGTAGCGCCTTGCTTGCTTCAACAATGTCGAGACAAGCGGCCCTTGTTCGAGATTCTGTTCGGTATGCGCTCGAGACTGTATCACATAGCTCCTGCCGTCCGTTGGGTGCCGACAAACCAAGCTTCCCCGCGGCTTCCTGACTGGCTGGTCAATATAAGTGACAACTTTGAGCTCGATCACCTCAATGGCCGTGCAAACACAAAGAACCCTTGCAGCTTCCTAACACACAGTCCTCCGCACAAGCTTCATCCTCCACCATACAGAAAGCTGACCAAACCAACATGTCGATGCAAGAGACAGTAGAGAAGGTGCTCGACGCCGCCACTGCCGACCTTTCACAGCCTATGGCTGTACCCGGTGCTGTGGTGTACATTGCAGACAAGACCGGTTAGGCCTAACCCTAACTCCTAACTCAAACTGGCTCAGATCGAGCCTCAAGTGCATGCTGCTTACGCTTCATGATGCTAGCAGAATAAGCTTGCTGAGCTTTCTCGGATGCTATGCTATGTATCTACTTACTTCAAGCATTGCAACTCCAAGGGATGCTACGATGGAAAAAGCCTGTCAAGCTGAGCGTCACCTCATCGTTGCCTCTTCTCTTCTGTGGCGTCCATGTGAAAGGGGCTAAGCCTCAAGTAGGCACCGGTTCGAGTCGCCACCTCCCACGACAAGACACCACGTAGACGACAGGACATCTGCGGGATAAGTCAAGACACATCCACGATGAAAGATCAAAAACTAAACAATAACATTCCATAAAATCAAAGAGAGCGATAAATACAGAAACTAAACGTCTGCAATACCTTAGAACTTGGCAAGGCCAATCTTGTTCGTCTTGACGTCGAAACGGTCCAAGTTCATCACCTTGTTCCAAGCGGCAACAAAGTCCTTGGCAAACTTCTCGCCGTTGTCAGGCTGAGCGTAGTGCTCAGCAAGAGCACGAAGCTCGGCCTGTGCACCAAAGATGAGATCAGCTCGGGTAGCGGTCCACTTGTTCTGACCCGACTTGCGATCAACACCGTCGAAGAGCTCGGCTTTGCCACCGTCGGCGACCTTCCACTCGGTGCTCATGTCGAGCAAGTTGACAAAAAAGTCGTTGGTGAGCTGACCACGTCGGTGAGTGAGGACACCGTGCGACGAGCCGTCCCAGTTCATGCCGAGAGCACGGAGACCACCGATGAGGACGGTGAGCTCGGGTGGGGTTAGGGTCAGCAGGTTGGCCTTGTCAACAAGGTACTGCTCAGCCCGAACATGCTCGCTCGATTGGCCGTAGTTGCGGAAACCATCGGCGGTAGGTCGGAGCCACTGGAAAGTCTCGCTCTCGGTCTCCTCCTGCAAGGCATCGGTGCGGCCAGGAGTGAAGGGGACCGCAAGACCGGAAGCTTTCTCGAGAGCGGCGTTACCGCCAAGGACGATAAGGTCGGCGATCGAGATCTGCTTGCCACCCTGGCTGGAAGAGTTGAAGTGCTGCTGAACACCCTCGAGGGCTTTGATAACCTCAGCAACCTCAGCAGGGTTGTTGACCTCCCAGTCCTTCAAGGGAGCAAGACGGACGCGGGCACCATTGGCGCCACCACGCTTGTCCGAGTCACGGTAGCTGGCAGCCGAAGACCAAGCAACGTTGAGCAACTTGGTGGGCTCGACACCGGCGGCAAGAATGGCCTGCTTCAAACCAGCAAGGTCGCGGTTGTCAACGAGAGCGTGCTTGACAGGCGGAACGGGGTCCTCCCAGATAAGCGTCTCCTTGGGGATCTCGGGACCGAGCCATCGAGAACGAGGACCCATGTCACGGTGAAGAAGCTTGAACCAAGCACGAGCAAAGGCATCAGCAAACTCGTCAAAGTTGTTGAGAAAGTGACGCGAGATCTTCTCGTACTCGGGGTCATAGCGAAGCGACAGATCCGTGGTCAGCATGGTTGGGCGGCGCTTCTTGGTAGGGTCGAAGGGTTCGGGGATGATGGCATCTGAGTCCTTGGCAACCCACTGGTTGGCACCAGCGGGCGACTTGGTGAGCTCCCAGTCGAACTTGAAGAGGTACTCGAGATAGAGGTTGGTCCACTCGGTAGGCTTGCTGGTCCAAATGACCTCGGTGCCCGAAGTGATGGCGTGAGGGCCCTTACCAGACTTGTACTTGCTAGCCCATCCGAGACCCTGAGCCTCGATAGGAGCAGCGTTGGGCTCGGGACCGACAAGGCCAGGGTCACCAGCACCGTGGGTCTTACCGAAAGTGTGACCACCAGCGATAAGAGCAACGGTCTCGTAATCGTTCATCGCCATACGGCCGAACGTGGTTCGGATGTCGTTGGCAGCGGCGGCCGGGTCAGGCAGGCCGTTGGGACCCTCAGGGTTGACGTAGATGAGACCCATGTGCGAGGCAGCAAGGGCACCGTCAAGGTTACGGTTCTTGAGGTCCTTGGGGTTGCTCTGCTCGTAACGAACATCGTTGCCGAGCCAGGTGGTCTCGCCACCCCAGTAAGTGGACTCGTCGGCCTCCCAGGTGTCTGCGCGACCACCGGCGAAACCGAAAGTCTTGAATCCCATCGACTCGAGCGCAACGTTGCCGGAGAGAAGCAAGAGGTCGGCCCAAGAGATCTTGTTACCGTACTTCTGCTTGAGGGGCCACAAGAGACGACGTCCCTTGTCGAGGTTACCGTTGTCTGGCCAGGAGTTGAGAGGAGCGAATCGCTGCTGACCCTCACCTCCACCGCCACGGCCGTCCTGAACACGATAGGTGCCGGCGGCGTGCCATGCGAGACGGATGAAGAAACCGCCGTAGTGGCCATAGTCGGCTGGCCACCAGTCCTGGGAGTCGGTCATCAAGTTGTGGAGATCCTTCTTGAGGGCGTCATAGTCGAGGCTGTTGAAGGCGGCAGCGTAATCGAAATGGGCGCGGAAAGGATCCGAGTTGGCCTGGTGCTGGCGAAGGATGTTGAGCCTGAGCTCGTTAGGCCACCAATCGCTGTTCTTGGTACCGAAGCCGGCAGCGGGGACACGCTTGCGGTCGATGTTGCCGGCGTGAGCAACTGGGCACTCTGCTCCCATTGTGGTAGCTGATGAACGCGTGCGCTGTTTATGGAAGAAGAGAGTGTGCGAAGAGTTGTTGGACGGTTAGGTAGACGACGACGAGGTGAGAAGATCGCTACCCGAGATACTCGGAAGAACGTTTGTGGATATCGGCAAGAGAGAGAAAGAGGTGTGGCGTAAAAGTGTGGCTGATGTGGGGGTGGAGGCGAAGCAAGATTTGCTGACTCCCTTGGCATATATATATATATCTTTCTTTTCCGAGGTGGCAACGAGGAACAAGGAACACGGCAGACAGAGAATGGTCCGTGCGTGCGCGCGCATGATTTGGAATCCAAGTGAGTCACGTGCAAGTTGCTAAAAGAGAGACTGTTAGGGCGAATGCAACTCACAGACAAAGAGGCAGCGCTAGTCGAGCTCAATAAAAAGTGAAATCACATGACCGCCTGTTCATGCTCTAACACGACCGCAAACTTCACTCGGCGTCGCCACCCGTCAACTCCCACCAACGCTCAACATCATCCACCAACGCCTATCTCATCCGACAACGGTACACCCTCATACCTGCCACCTCATCTACATACACACACATCGATCGACAGTAGAGGCATATATATACTCATGATATTCCTTTGTACTTAGCTCTCACTGAAGGCTAACGATTTCGCCGCTTGCTTGACCGCCCTGATTGTGCTTTCCTCAACAAATTCGACTTGGATGACACCACGTCGGGGCTATCGCCCGATCTGTCACTCGGATGCCTGTCTGTAGCTGGCGCAGATCTCATTTCGACTATGTGATAGCCCGATCTAGATCTCGGAACAGGCTTGAACACCAGACCGGACATGGTGGACGCAGTTACTGAGATTCCACAAGATGCTTAGTGTACAAGAGGACCCTGATAGACTTTGCCATACCGGATCCAGCAAAGCGCGGGAATGAGAAAGCTTCCTATCAGGATTGCTGAAGTATAGTTCATGTTGGCGCTCGTCACAGGCCAGACGGGTGGCAGTGAGAGGAAGAGACACAGCAAGACAGTAAAGACGATGGTGAGGATATTGGCCGAGATGGTGAACCACTTGGGCATCTTGTAAGGCGGGTCCCAAGCACTGTCGCCCTCAGACGCATCCGAAGCCATACCGTCATGGATCACCTTGCCCATGCTACCGCCCGGGCGTCTTTCACTGCCGCCTCGGCGACGAGCTCCGAGACAGACAAAGGCAACGATCGAATAGGAGACTGCCAATAACAAGGTAGGCACTGAGATGATTGCAGTGAATGCAGCAGTGTTGCCAATATAGATGCATCCGATGCAGCTCTGGCAGAAGAAAACAAGCAGTCCAGCTGCAAGTGGCGAGTCGAACTTCTTGTTGACCTTGCCAAAGAAGCTCGAAAAGGGGAAGCCTCGCTGTCGGGAGAAGCCATAGATGCATCGACTCGCTGCCATTGCCACATCGGCCGAAGTGATCAGGAATGAGACCAGAGGGATCAGCAGAAGAACAATGGCACCCGAACGTGTCGTCTTGATGCGAAGGATCTCGGCAAAGGGGAATCCAGTTGAAGTAGTGATGATGTCTTGAAGGCCAGGCAAGGTGAAGACAAGTAGGAAGGCATAAGCCAGTGTGATGACGATGCTGGTTGCAAGTGCACCAAAGATGGCAATGGGCACCTGCTTTGAAGGGTTGGCCATCTCCTCGGAGAAGTGCGTCGGCACGTCCAATGCAGTGGTGGAAAGGGCTGCTTGCGAAAGACCGAGGACCCAAGGGATAAAGTTGTTACCCCATCCGGAAACGTTGGTGATGTCGACCAGCGCAAACTGGAGGGTATTATAGTTGCCTCGTGACTGGATCAACAGCGTCAAGGCGACCACAAAGAAGCCCACCAGGGACCAGGTGAAAGCAAAAACGTTGAGGCGCGAGACCAGCTTGGATGCAATGCCGGCTACGAGGAAAGCAAATGCAGCTGTGACGATGATGCTCACCGATACGTGCCATGTCTCGATCACATAGTCCGGGAAGGTGAGATTGATCATGGCCAGCAGGATGGTGGTTGTGATCAGCTGTGCGGCAACACTGAGCAAGACATAGCCGAGAAGCACTGTCCAGGAGGTGAGATAGGAGAGGAATCGACCATGCAAGCGATACACCCAAGCTGCTTGACCAGATGCGTTGGGGAATTGCGATGCTGGCTCTGCGATGGTGACAGCAGCAGCCATGTTGCAAATACCGACGATGATCATGCCCCATACAAGTACGTTGGCGCCGCCGCTTGCCAATGCAGTGGCAGCACTGGCTGAGTAGGCGATCCAAGAGGAGAGCGAAGTGTATCCCAAAGCGATGGCGCCGAGCGTACTCAACTTGTTACCCAGACCTGACTCTCGGTCGGCATACTGGCGTGCTTGCTCCTGGCTTCCATCACTGACGTAGTTGACGGGTGCTTGATGATCGAATTCCGAGATGGTGATCTGTGCTTTGGAGTTAGCATCTTTGGGCGACATGGTTTTGAGCTTGTCGTTCATTGCGAAAGAACAGTGACAAAGAGCGAGCTTGATCACTTGGGGAGTGGGCTTGCTCGATTTGCGAGGGATAGTTGATTCCTGATCGACAGCCAGGGATTCGATACGGGTCGATGCGACTGGAAGAGGATGGTCTGTGCAACTAATGGCATGGGTACCTTATATATACCGTGGGAAAGGGCTTGCGATATTGGTGGACATGACAACGAGGCGGCCTTGTTACCAGCTAGGCGGCTGTTTGGCGTGAGACATTGATAAGAGGGTGTCAACCATTTGACAGGTCTCAACCAAACGGAGCACTTGACTTTGGCTCGAGTTGTTCACACGGGACCCGAAAAGCGACCAGCTGAGTCTTCAAGGCCACCTCGAGGTTGACCATCGTCTCAGGATCTGTGCACAAAGCATTGCACGGGGTGATAGCGATAATGGGCAGGTCGTTGTTACCTTGGGACAAGGGTCTGGCTGGCTGATTGTGCAGGCTAACGAGGTTTGCTTCGAGACTGAGTGCCTTGGATTGGTTAGTATCAGTTGACAAACGAAGGATAAGGCAGTGCGATACTGCAACCGGCAGTACAAACATGCGGGCAGAACGAGATGAGGGGGATAGAATGGCATGAGGATAGGATGGCACACGGCAAAGGCTATGAATGTGGAAACGACGACTTCCGATTGGTCCATTGAGCTGTCAAACTAAGCGAGCCAATCAGATAGCGCCGCTGATTCTGTTGGGTGTTTCTTCTCACCGCTTAGAACAGCACGATAAGCTTGCCTTCTTTCCCCCTTGTCCTCGCCCCACACGGAAAGCCTTAGGCCATCTGAAACGGCAATCTCGACCAAAGCTTCGCCCTATCACACTTGTCTCTTTGCCAGAGAATGCTAAGCTTGTCTTTTTGTCTTCCGATCATCCGTGCTTCTGACTCACAGACGACCATTTCGGCCGTCTGAGCCCATTCGGTTGCCGTGCGGCAATCAGGGACAGTCGATAGAAGACGTTTCTGTCACCAACCACACAGCGGCAGACAAGGTTGTCGAAGCGATACGCCTCCTGAGCATCACAGGCACCCTATTCTCTCCTTCTCTCCGCATTGGTAGCTCTACTTAAACCCAGCAGGGTGTGAGCGCCAAGTCCTTGCTTCCCTTCAGTCGCCTATCCCTCCAACCTCCTGGCTCCCTCTACCTCGACATCGACATCATGGCCCCTACCGCAATCGACGTGGTCCACACCTCCAATGTCGCTCCTGCATCCTCGGTCAAGCCAGCAGCCTCGAGCGCTCACTTGCATCCCCTCGACGACATCACACCTGCCGAAAACAAGCTGGCCGTAGAGCTCATCCGCGATTATCACAGAGACGATGGCTTCCAGCCCTGGTTCAAGGCTGTACAGCGCCAAGAGCCTCGCAAGGCCGTGCTTCTTCCTTGGCTAGACGCTTTCCATGCAGGTAGAAGTCCTGCGCCTCTCCCGCGCAAGGTCGAGGCTCTATACATTGAACCTAAGACGGCCAGGATTCACGAGGCTATCATCGATCTTGCTTCACAGAAGCTCGAATCTCACAACATCGTCCCCGGCAACCACCGCACCAACCTCGATATCTGCCAGCTCCAAGAGTTTGAACGAGAGCTCCTCAAGGATCCTTTGGTCAAGCAGGCTCTTGAGCAACTTGGTCTTGATGCAGACACTCCCATCGCTTCCGACCCATGGATCTACGGCGCCGACTCGTTTGAAGATCAGCCCTACTTGATGCAGTTCCTCATGTACCTCAAGTCGCCTCGCAATGCCCACGATGGAGACAACTTTCACTACTCCTGGCCGCTCCCATTCGTTCCCGTCGTCGATGTCATCACTGGCAAAATCGCACGTGTCGACTGGTGCTACACTGGCGATTCTGCAGACGGCATGATCCACACTTGGAAGCAAGGTTGGGCCAAGAGCAACATGGAGGAGCGCGAATACATGCCACACCTCCAGAACAACTTCCAGCCACGAGCAGGTCTCAAGCCTCTCATCCTTCAGCAGCCACAAGGTGCTTCCTTCACTGTCAACGGCAAAAGTGTCGAGTGGCAAGGATGGAAGTTCCGCATCTCTTGGTCCGCGCGCGAGGGTCTGACACTGCACGATCTCAGATTCAATGGCAGGTCTCTTTTCCACAGGCTGTCCATGTCCGAGATGACAGTGCCCTACGGTGATCCTCGACCGCCGCTTCACCGCAAGCAGGCTTTCGATGTCGGCGACGCATCCTGTGGCTTCACTGCCAACAGTCTCGCTCTTGGATGCGACTGTCTTGGTGCCATCCACTACTTTGACGGTCACCTTGCTTTGCCCAACGGAGAGCTCCTTCAGCAACAGAACATCGTCTGCATGCACGAGGTCGATGACGGCATCGGAATGAAACACACCAACTACCGCACAGCCAACCCTTACGTTGTTCGTCGCCGTGTCCTCGTGCTCCAGACCATCATCACTGTTGACAACTACGAGTACATCTTCCTCTGGCACTTTGACCAGACTGGCGCCATCTCCTTCGAAACTCGCGCCACTGGTGTCCTCTCGGTCTCTCCCATCGATGCTGGCAAGACCTCGCCTTACGGCAACATTGTCTCTCGCGGTGTTCTTGGAACCAACCACCAGCACATCTTCTGCGTCCGTGTCGATCCCCGCATCGATGGTGACGGCAACACAGTTCACTACGAGGACAGTCTTCCTATGCCCTTTGAGACGGAGGAGGACAGGCTTAGCAATCCATACGGCACGGGCTACCTGGTGCACAAGACGGTCATCCATCATGAAGGTGGTGCCAACTTGGACCCTATGAAGAACAGAACTTTCAAGATCACCAACCCCAACAAGCTCAACACCATCTCGCAGAAGCCTGTCGGGTACAAGCTGCACTTGCCAGCGACACAGCTTCTGCTGGCTCACCCCAAATCCGTTGCCTATGCTCGCGCCGAGTTTGCTCGTCACCATGTTTGGGTGACCAAGTACCGTGACGATGAGCTCTGGGCTGCAGGCAAGTACACCAACCAGTCCAACGGCAAGCAAGGCGGTGTCGCTACTTACAGTCAAGCCAAGCAGAACACAGTTAACCAAGGCATTGTTGTCTGGGCTGTCTTTGGCTTAACACACAACCCACGTGTCGAAGACTTTCCTGTCATGCCCGTTGAAACGCTCATGATGTCGCTCAAACCCGCCGATTTCTGGGAGACTTGCCCCATTCTTGACATCCCCACAAGTTCGCAAGCTGTGAACAAGTCGACCTTGATCATCTCGAACAACGAGCAGGTAGCGGATGAAAAGTCGTGCTGCAAGTTCTAATCCTTTATCCCAATCCTCATCAATGAAAGAACAGCAGGCCCAATGGTAGATTGTGTGGTGACCAATCAGGAGACGTTTATGAAAGAGGACCCTGAAGCACAAGCAAGACAACGCCGAGGCACCTCGTGATACACACAGCTCGAAGGGTGATGATAAACATTCTCATGGATCAAACAAAGGTATATATACGCACGATCTAGTAGCTCTAGTTCATGATGAATCTTAAGTATTGCACCTACCATACACCTGTGCGAAAGGAGCTAGACCGTAGTCCGGACAAAGCGGTGCCTTGCATAACTTCAACTGTTAGACAATGAGAGGTGGTTGGGGCGTCGACAAGCGTAGGCAAGAGGACAAAGCGCCCTGACTTGTACAAGCTCACAGATTCTTCATTCAGGGTATGAAAGTCTTTGCACAGCAGCACACACCCACGTTGAAAAGAGTGGCAAAACAAACTTGATTAATACAAGACAGGATCTGTACGATCCCTTTTACTAGCCCATCCTTCTCCTCCCTCTAGTAGGCGTATTCGAAATAAGGATTCTCCCAATCAGTTTCAATCCTCCAATATCGCCTTTTTCTTGATCTCCTCTGCGTCCCTGCCAGGTCAAGTAGAGGGCGGCAGCAACCATCGTGTGACGCTTGGCCGCCGAACCGTCAACATATCGGCAATAGCAATCTGAGTTGCATCGGCCGAGAAGCTTGATGGTGTCTGCATTGACGCCCTGCGACGCCACCCGAGGCCTTTGACAAGGGAGAATGGATGAAGCGAATGGTGCTAAGTTGAAGAACTGAGGCAAAGCGTATGATGCTTCGTTGCTGTTACAATGTAACTAGTATTTGCTCTGTTGGACAACATGGTATACCTTTCGTCCGCTCGTCCGAATGTGAACGTGATTAGAAGCTCGTTGCGGAATGCGGGAGATGTTGCTTAACGATGGACACTCTTTCCGGGCGCAGCCAAGCCCTCCAAATGCTCTCTGATCCATCTTCTCCTTTGCTCCGGCGCATGTCTCCAAGCTCGGAATCTAGCATCGTTCCGCAACACTGACTCGATCTCTCCCAGATCCACCTTTCTGGCCAAATCCAGCATTGTCGTTCCATCTCCTTCCTCTCCATCGTCCTCTTCTCCTTCTTGCCTCGCTTCCCTTTTCTCCTCTCCCACGTCGCTACTGGCGTTGACTTCCTTCTTGAGTCTGCCCCAAAATCCGACAAACGCACTCTCCGTGAGCATCTCCTTGAACTCTTTCTCCGCGCTCTTCTTTCTCTCTGCATCCCACTTAGCGTAGGCGGCCTTAAGCTTCGCCTTATCCTGCCGATAGACCTGCATTGGCAGATGAGACAACTCCTCATCCTGAAGAGTCAACGCAATCACGTCTTCTGCCTGAGTATCGAGTTTCTTCGCGTACCTAGCAAAGACGCTGCCGATCTTGCTCTGCTCCTTGGTGGCGAGTCGTTGCTGGTGTTCGCGGAAGAGCTGTTCTTTCTCATCTTCGGACAGAGCGGGTGCATGGAAGCGTCGGTCGGAAGAAAGCTGTGGAAGCGCCTCGGAGTAGCTAATGTGAGCGGAATGTACGGCATCAAGCAAAAGTTGCTGGAATGAAAGGACCGACTCCGAGTGTGTTGCAGCAGAGAAAGCGGATCGGTTGAGACGGTTGATGCGGTCTCGTTCACTGCGCACTTTTGCCTCGCGTTCTGCGAGGGCACGGCGTCTAGCTTCTTCCTTTTCTGCTGCTTTGCGCGCTGCTGGAAGGTCTCGTTGCTCTCTGCGCTCTTGTCTCTCGGTCGTAGGTCTGGACGAGGTAGCGTGAGCAATAGAAGCGGAAGAAGGATGGGGCTTGCGCTCTCCCTTCGCCCAAGAACAAAACAACTCAAACCGCCTAGTCGAGCTGCCGACAGCATCGTACCTCTTATCCTCTACAACACCAGGTGAACGCTTAGCTTCGACCCACACTGCCGATATGGCTTCCTTTTCTGCTTCCTTGCCATTGTTAGCAGCTTGACTCTTGGCGGTAGCTACTTTGTTGCGGTAATTGCCAGGGATCTTATCCGACAAGAGATCCAAAAAGTCCTTGTCGGCCTTCTCTGCGGCTGCACGCTTCTGCTCGCCAAGCTCGATAAGGTGTGTTTTGAAGAGCTTCTCTCTATCGCCCTCACCCTTTCCGTACGAGCTGAAGCGAGCGTCACGGGCAAATGCAGCTTTGAAGTCGGCGTACTTTGTGCGTGTGGATCTTACTTGATTCTTGAGCAGTGCACGGAAGGCCTCTTCGGCAGGCTTGGAGAGTGGGTCCGCGCGGATGGATTTGGACGAAGAAGCAGGCTGCGAAGAAGCTAAAGCAGCTGCAGCCTTGGCAGCACGCTTCTCGCGGATGCGAAGCTTGCACCACTCATTGAAGACATCTTCTCTCTCGCGTTGCGGTAAGGCGTGGAAAGAAGGATTTGAGGCAAACTTGGACTGTTCGAGATCCCATGGTGCCATTGGATTGACTTCGCTCTTGGTGCCGTTGAGCGAGGTGAGATGGGCCATAAAGGTTGTTTTTTGCTCTTCGAGTGTTGTTGTAACTTCGGGTTGAGGCGCGTCTGGTGTCGGTGTGCGTGCTGGCGGATGATGCTGGGAGTTGGTGTCCGCATCGTTGGAGGCTGCGGCTTCTGCTTCTGCTTCCGCTTCGGCGGCCATCTTTTCTGCTATTTGGCGCTGCCACCCTTCATCGTCTTGTTCATCATTTCCATTCGCTTCCGCTGCATCTTGGGGCAGTGATTCAGCTTGAGCCTCGTTGATCGACGCTATTGAATCCTTTTCCTCCTCCTTCTCCTCCTTCTCCTCCTCCTCCTCCTCCTCCTCCTCCTCCTCTTTCTCCTCCTCCTCCTCCTCTTTCTCCTCCTCCTCCTCCTCTTTCTCCTCCTCCTCCTCCTCTTTCTCCTCCTCCTCCTCCTCTTTCTCCTCCTCCTCCTCCTCTTTCTCCTCCTCCTCCTCCTCTTTCTCCTCCTCCTCCTCTTTCTCCTCCTCCTCGTCATCATCATCATCATCCTCGTCGGCACGTGGCCTCTTCGCAGAAGCGTCGAATTCAGTGATCGCGACACCTTCCTCTGCTTTCCTCTTTAACAGCCTCTTTTCTCTCCTCACTCTGTCCCTCTCCTCACGCTGCTTCTGTTCTGCTTCGCGTTTCAACCTCCGCTTATGCTTGACCTCGTTCTCCTCCATCTCTCGCACAGCCGCGGCGATCTCTGAGGGTGGGAGCCATTCGCTCGCCTTGGTCTCAGGTTGGAAGAAAAATACATTGTCTTTGTTGGTGGTGATCTTGAACCATCCAGAGGTGTTGGGTATTGGCGTTTTGGAGACGGGCTTCTCGCGCTTGGGTTTTGGAAGGTGAGGCGGGTGGTAAGTGCTGACACCGGAGCCAGAGTTGTGGTAGTAGGTGCGCCCCACTGGGCTAACGTGAGCGGTCCAACGTGGTGGGGGTTGAGTAGATGATGGACCTGCGGCGTTGTCATCCATGATAGCGAGTAGCTCGAAGCCAGTGTCGTTCTGTGGAAAGGGAATAGAAGAAGAAGAGGTAAGAGGGAAAGGCAGGGTCCATAGAGAAAGTTGGAAGAAAGCACGGACTTCGGATTTCGGAGCAGCAAAAACCCTCCACACGGAAGCTGTTCGCAATTTCTTTGATGGAGGATGGTGCAATGATCCCTGAACCTTGTCACCGCCTCACCATCACGACGACCAAGACTGACGATCAGTCGCGAAGGGGCGTTAGAATGCCTGCGATCGGACCCAAACTACCTAACGAGAGGAGACGGAGGCGGCCTCGCTCGGACTCTTTCTCGTCTCGGTCATCGTACGATTGCCCATCATCACAGTCAAGCTCCTCATCACGGAAGCGCTCAGGCTCGCCATCGGGCTCGGACGCATCGACTGGCCTAGGACCAAGTGTTGCAGGACCACATTTCCCTGCCGGTTTCCGCCAGTCTCGCTTGCGATCCAACTCCAGATCAAGCTGCGACTCGAAAGCCTCATCTTCGGAGGACGAGGGACGATGGGTCGGACCTGTCCTTCCTACCGCCTCATCTTCACAGGACGATGGCCTCAGCGCAGGCGCCAGAGCGTTCCTCGAAAGAGAAGCCAGGAAGAATGCAGCAGCTGAAGAGGCCAAGCTAGCAGCAGAAAAGGGAGCCAACTCGCGACCGGAATGGATGCTTCTGCCTCCTTCTCTTTCGAATGCGTCCTCGTTGCAGGCTGTGGCAGGCGATCCACTGAATCTCAAGTCGAGAGGGTTTGCGCAATCGACGCCTCGTGTATGTGGTCGTGGTGGAGGTAGAGCGTCAGATGCTGATACGAGTCTATGGACTGAAACACCTGAAGAAAGGGTGAAGCGAATGCAAGACCAAGTGTCGGGTGTTAGATCCAAGGATGGCACCAATCTGGGCGAGAAGGAGCGACTGGAAAGGGAGATGATTGCCAGAAGAGAGGCAATAAGAGAAGAAAGCATCGCAGCCAGCCTAGCAGAAGGAAGAGGGAAAAAGTCGCTTCTCGAACAACACAACGAACGCCGAAAGAAGGAAATCCAAGAGGCTAGACAAAAGAGAAGCAGAGAGAAGGGCAAAAGAAGAGAAGAGCAAGAGCATCCCAACCCTCCTCGGTCTTCCGCACACCGCAGAGATAGTCCGAGACGCCGATGCAGGTCACCTGACAGAAAGGACAAAGGTCGACACGGCTCTTGCCGCTCTTCTTCTTGGCATCGCCATCGGAGCTCCCGACACAGTGACTCACATTCTTCCCACGGTTCGCGCCATCGCTCCCACCGACATTCGGATGCTTCCGAAGATGATCATGAGAGGCGTAGAGAGAGAAGAGAGGGAAGAGAGGGAAGAGAGGGAAGAGAGAGAAGGAAGAGCGAGTCGGATCATCGCCGAGACAAAGATAAGCGCAAGGACAAGGATAGCAACAAAGACAAGGAGCGGAAAAAGTCACGCAAGCAAAGGGAAGAAGAAGAGGTGAGAGAGGGCAAGGCGGCTGCTCCTCTGATCTGGGATCGAGAAGCAGCTCTCAGTATCGGTGGCAAACTGATGGATGAGAAGAAGAGAGGAAAGATGATTGCAGATGCCAATGCTTTGGGAGATCGATTTGGTAGCGGATCTCGTCGTTTCTTGTAGAAAACCTTCATACTATATCATCTGCAGCCTCTCGAACAGAGACGACCATCTCACCAACCAAGCCAAACAAGGCGATGGAACACGTGTGAGATGCAACAGCCCACCTCTCCATGGTGATCAAGCTGAACGTACGCAAAGGGAAGCGGCGGCGGAGAACAAGTGCTCTTTCTCTTCAATCGAGAAGCAGACTTGGATGGCAGTGAGAGAGCCCAGGCCCTTATCTCTTCTTGATACGGTCATCGGACACCCGCGGCCTTTGGTCTGATACGATCATCGGATGGACCGAAGCATTTCGGCCCGATAGGAACATCGGCCATCCCGGCGATCGGCCATCCCGGCGATCGGCCATCCCGACGATCGGCCATCCCGACGATCGGCCTGATACGAGTCGATACAGGCACAGACAGCCTTGCTTGCACTCTTTACGCGTGCCCAAAAGTGACACACGCAATCACGCCCAAGAGACTGCTCCAGCGCCTCTCCACTTTCTCTTCTGCAAAAACTGAGCTTTTGGAACACGCTTTTCGACGGGAGCGAGAGCGCGCAACGCGTCTTCTCAGCCACTTTGCCTTCCGATTAGCCCTTGGTCACTGTCTCGCCGCTATCCATTCCATCCCGCCACTTGCATCCCGCCACTTGCATCCCGCCACTTGTATTCCTCCATCATCTCATCTCGGCGCAATCACGTCCAGCTTATGTTTTCTCGGTCGCTGTGGAGCCAAATCAGCTGATACCTCTCAGACACGCCAACGATACCATGCATCGGACTCGCTCTTAACCTAAGCACATATTGACAGGACGCTATAGCGTCCCGTCCAACAAGCTCAAGCCCAAGCCCATATTTGCACTCGCTACAGCCACAACGCGATGAAGCTGGCCATGCGGCTGTCATCTTGACCGAATATGTCCTCTTCGATGCCAGCAAGACGTTCTGCCCCTAGCTCCTCCTCCGCTTTGTTTCGAGCTTCTCATGATCAGGACTTTGACCCCTTTGGCTCCCAAGCCTCATCTCAGCGTCGAGTCAACGCATCCGGCTCGACACCATCTACCTCCTCACGTCCAGTTTTGACAGAGGAGACCAACTCCCCAGTCGTCAACATGAAGCAGTCAAGGTCGCAGTCACAGGCTCAGGCGAGCAGACGTTTGAAACGTTCGCCTTCCGAAGCTGTCGATCTACCTTCCCCATCACCAGCCACGCACAACTCACAGACCACTACTGGCATCAGTAACGGCATCAGTAACGGCATCAGTAACGGCATCAGTAACGGCATCAGTAACGGCACCAGCAACGGCACCAATCGCCACATACGGTCCCAACCTACAAGGAACCTCAGAGACGACTCAGCTTCACCTTCCAAAAGACGCAGAGCTTCACCCAGCAAAGCTTCTGCTGTAAACGGTACACCTTCACCGCGCAAGCGAGCCCCCTCACCAGCCAGCGAGCATTTGACCCTTCTCTCAGACGATGACCATGACAACATTCTTGTTGATCTTGCGGAAGCAGAACCAGAGACAGTCGTCCCTGCTGACACCGACGCAAGCAACCAGATCGACGCAGAACATAGAACGCAGCGCTCTGCAGACCGATACCTTCCCGGTGCTATTCGACGCATCGCCCTCTCCAACTTTCTCACTTATGACTCGGTTGAGTTCCTCGTGGGGCCCTATCTCAATCTCATCTGTGGGCCTAATGGTACCGGCAAGAGTAGTATTGCATGCGCCATCGCACTTGGCTTAGGTGGACACCCTAGCTTGCTTGGTCGAGCTTCTCAACTGGGCTCCTTTGTCAAGCGCGGCGAAACCGATGGTTGGATCGAGATCGAATTGCAAGCATGGCCTGGCTCAACCAACCCCATCATTCGCCGCAGCCTTACAACTGCAAGCAACAAGAGCGACTGGTTTCTCTCCGGGCGCAGCACCACCAAGACCGACATCTTGGCGACCGTGGCCGAGTTCAACATCGACGTCGGCAACTTGTGCTCTTTCCTGCCACAAGACAAGGTGCACGAGTTTGCAAAGATGACCGATGCCAAGCGTCTGGTCGAGACAGAGAAAGCTGTGGGAGGTGCAAAGCTCGTCCGATGGCATCAGAAGCTCAACGAGTACGGCAAGACCGCCGCAGAAATCGCAAACTCACTCAAGACCAAACAGGAAGAGAAGGCTCATCAAGAGCAGCGGAATCAAGCGCTTCAAGTTGATGTTCAGCGTTTCGAGGAGCGACGTCAGATCGAAGAGCGTATCGAGAAGCTCGACATCATGATCCACATGGCTGATTACAATCGCAAGAAGCAAATGGTCACCGAGCTACAACAGGAGCGAGAGACCAAGCGTCGAGAGCTTGCCGAAGCAATGCAACGCAGCCAGCCCGTCCGACAGAAGCGCACCGAACTCGAAGAAAAGACCAACAAGCTCAAGATTGAACTCCAGCGTCTCGACAGTGTCTACACGAGCGACGAGAAGAAGCGTAGGAACTTGGTGCGCAATGTCGAGGAGCTCGGAGGAGAGATCGAGGGCAAGCTGACAGAAGTCGGAGCACTTACACGCAAGGACCAGGATCGCGCACGTCGAGTCCAAGAGTTGAAGAAAGAGATCGCAGAACGCACCACTCAGCTTGGCGACGAGCCAGGCATGTCGGACACTGCCGAGATCGAAGCCGATATGCGTCGCCTCAGAGAGAAAGTCAACGACTGCCAAACTAGGCGTGGCGACATTCAGCGAAAGATTCAGGATGTCAACGTCGAGAGCCAAAGTATCGACAAGGGCACCCAAGCGCATCGTCAGCAACTTGCCCAGCTCGACAATGTTCGTCAGCAGCGTCTCGAGAAGATCCGAGCGGTTGATGAGAGCGTCTACCGTGCCACCATGTGGTTGCGCGAGAACCAACACAGATTCCGCAAACCGGTACACGAGCCCGTCCTGCTCGAGATCTCGCTCAAAGACCAGCGCTATGCAGCTGCCGTCGAGTCTTCCATCCCCTGGCTAGTACAGAAGGCTTTCGTCTGTCAGACACGAGAGGACTACGATCTCTTTGGTAGTGAAGTCATCGACAAGCTCAAGATGCGTGTCACCGTAGCTGAGAACGAAAAGCTATCGCTCGAAAAGTTCAAGCCAGAGGTTCCGCGCGACCAGCTCCAAGCTTTGGGATTCGAAGGTTACATCATCGACATGATCGAAGGTCCTGAAGAGGTGCTCAAACACCTCTGTAAGCAGTCGCACCTGCACAAACTACCTGTGACGCTCAACCCAAACGTCGACGTGGAACGAATCGAGCAATCTGACCGTTTCCGAAGATTCATCGCCGGTGGTGAGAACTTTACCATCAACGTGTCGCAATACGCTCCCGATGTGCGCCAAACTGTCTCTCGTCGTATCGGCCCAGCTCGAAGTCTGGTCAATTCGGTCGATCGCGAACGTCAACATTGCCTCACTAACCTCATCCAAGAGCTTTCCGCCAAGAAGAAGGAGCTTGAAGCACAGACGCTCATTCTGCTCAAGGAAGACAAAGCGATCCAAGCCGAATTAGCGCGGTACGAGGAGCAGCTCAACCAACTCAGAGAACAGCATCGAGATTGCATGGGAGCTCAGCGTCAATGGGAGAAGAATCGAGCCATGCTCGATGCTCGAAAGCGCGAGTTGCGGGACAAGGAACGTGAGCCGTCCGCTGAAGAGAAGCGAGCTCAATTGATGAAAGAGATCCGCAAGCTGGCTCAGAAGCGTAGCGAAAAGATGCAAGATCTAGGTGCGCAGACAGTTCAGATGGCCAAAGTGGCGGATCGCAAACACATCGCTTCCCTAAGCAAGTGGCAGTGGGACGCTACAGGAGCGCAACTGGAGAACATGTTGCGGGACTTGAAAGAAGCGGAGAAAGAGCTAGCAACGAGCTTGGAGGAGACGGCCAATGCTCATGCCCGGGCCAGGAAAGAAGCATATGAGCTCAGGGACGCAGTACAAAAGATGATCGATGAAGCAGGCGACCTCATTCAGGGTATTGATCCTGAGGATGAAGAACTTCTTGACCTGGACAGGTGTCTAGCAGAGATGCGAGCAGAAAAGTCCAAGCTCGAGCTTGCAGAAGGAGTCCGTCCTGAAGTCATTGATCAGTACCGCGCCCGTCAACGCGAGATCACCAACATGACCAGCGAAATCAACGACTTACTCGAGCTTCAAACCCAAATCGAAACCAAGATCACCAACACCCGATCCAAGTGGGAGCCGACCCTATGTCGAGTCATCTCGGAAGTCTCGCGACAATTCTCCTTGGCGTTCGACCAAATGGGCCTTGCCGGAGAGCTGCGTATTGTTCCCGATGAAGACTACGAGAAGTGGAAGCTGGAGATCATGGTCAAGTTCCGCAACTCGGAAGAACTCGCACCACTTTCGGCACAGCATCAATCCGGTGGTGAGAGGACATTGAGTACGATCATGTACATCATGTCCCTCCTTCAGCTCTCTCGTTCACCTTTCACGCTGGTGGACGAGATCAACCAAGGTATGGACCCAACAGCGGAACGAGTGACCCACAACCACATTGTCGGCTTGACATGCCAGTCGCACGCAAATCAGTACTTCTTGATCACACCGAAGCTCTTACCGGACTTGAGGGTTCATGAGCTGCAAAAGGTACTCTTGGTCTGCAATGGAGCGTACGGAGAGAGCGGGTTCAGCTTCAGCAAGGTGTTAGAGAAGAAGAAGAGGCAATTGGGATTGAGTCAAGCAGACTTGGCCAAGGGGACGAAGAAGGTCATGGAAGCCGTATGGGGTGCGGAGGAGGTTGCGGAAGAGAATTTGCGACCCACCACTCAGGGGTTGCAGGGCCGGAGCAGGAGAGCTACAAGTCAGAGCAGGAGCGGTAGACGAGCTGACTAGCTGCTTTCATCATCTCGCCTAATGTGCCCGTAGTTGTACTTTGACTCTGTATCCGTCTCAATGATATTTCCCATCTTGTCACCGTTCTCGATCCGTTTCGTTTGCAGTGTGCATTCCTCTCTCCCGTTGGTCTGTCCAGACTTGGTCACAACTTGAGACGCTTGACAGAGGTTGGCACAGGCCAGCAAGCTCTGCGCTCATCTCTGGCTCAACATTGTGCTGGCCAAAGGATGTTTGATTGCAATGTGACGTCGGTACATGCTGGATGTGGTGATCTGAACGACTGATGACTCCACCACTTTAGTGTGTTAGGCGTTACTCAGTGGGAGTGTTCGAAGAAAGCCGTGTCGCAGACTCGTAGTTTCGTGCGGGGTCGAATGCTCCCAATCGAGCGTCTCCGCAGAGAGACGGAGTGAAGAGCATGCAGGATCAGAAGCAGCGAGGGTGCTTACCACCTTGTAACGTCCTCAACCTCGCCAAACACGCTCTCCTTGACCTCTCCACGCTGCTCCCCACCCTCCTTGGCCGGCTGCGCAACCTGGATGGGCTCCCTGGCATAAACCTCCTCCAGCACTTCGCTCAAGAAAGCGCCTACAGCCTCATTAATCTGTTCGAACTCCAACAAAAACCCGTCATGGCCATCGCTACTCTTGACACTTACGAACTTACTCCCCTCCACCAGCCTATGTATCAACACCTGTTCCGGGGGTGCAAACAAGCCATCACTTTCGATACTCGCCACCAACACTGCCGGTGGTTGAGGCTTCAACGGGCTAGGTGGATGCGCAGATAGGAAAGAAAGAACGTTGAGTAGCGCCTCGTCTTCCTCCTCCATCGATTCTGGTTTGCAGCCAGAATGGCGAGAGAGGGAATCGGGGGTGAAACGCCAACCCCAACGATCACGTGCAACGTCGTGAGAGTCCATTTTGCGAGTGAGATGGATGTAGCAGTTGGCATCGAATCGTTTGACGAACTTGTCACCTTGATAGCGGAGGTAAGATTGGGCGGAGAAGATTTGTGGTGCGGTGGAGGGGGAGAATGGTTCGACTAGGCGTTGCACTGCTGCTGCCGCGGCTGTGGTGAGGGCGGGAGGCAGGGTAGCATGGGTGCCGTTGGAGGTGGTGGTGACTGCTTCGTCGGAGAGTTCGGTTGGTGGGTGGGGAGTGTTGGGAACGGGAGGAGTGGTTGCCGTTGGTGATAGAGCCGGATCGGCCTCAGCTGGCTTAGCTTCAGTAGGGGAGGGCAAGTAGCTGTGACCGTTGGAGCTAGGCGAAGAGTTGCTACCATAAGGCTTAGCCCTCGGACTCAAGTTCCCCTCGTTATGCGCTTCAGCAGCGTCAGCAGCAATACTCTTGCTTCTCCTCTCATCCTCTCCTTTTGCCACCTGCTCCTCCTTTTTCCCCGACAAACGCTGTCCTCCAGCTTTCAAGGCTTTCCCTACCCTCCTTCCGAATCTAGACTCGAAGCTATCCCTGGACCTATAGGTCAATAGTGCAGCCATCCTCGCGGCGCTCAACCCATTCCTCGGCGGTTGCTCTGGCTCGTAGTATCCGTGCTTGAACAGAGGATCAGAGTAAATCGACTGTCGCTGAGCTTCCGCCCATGAAATACACCATGCTGAATGGCGAGCAGATGTAGCTAGCGGTACGATGGCTTGTATATATCTCCTCTTCGCCGACGCATGGTCAGGCAGGCCGGGGAAACGAGTTGGGAAAAGCAGAGGCCATTCCAAAACAGCCATTCCGCCCATACTGCCGCCGACAACAGCAGAGATCACCTCGACTCCCAAGTATTCCAATACAAGCTTCTGCACTCGAACATCATCGCGAACGGTAGTAGCTGGGAATTCAGGTCCCCACCACCCGTCGCCTTTCCATTGCAGCTTTCGCTTTTGAGCTTCTTGAATCGCTTGTGCATCCTTTGCAAGTGCCTCTGCCCAGACGGTCTCTCCTCCGGCTTGGGTACAGCTGGAAGCGGAGCCATATGGACTTCCAAGGACGTTGCAGCAGACGATGAAAAATCGGCTGAAATCAAAGACTTTGCCTACACCCAATAGTGGTCCCCACCAGTCTTCTACATCCGCAGAGCCAGTGAGAGCATGGCATACGACCAGGGCATTGTCGCGCGTTCCAGGTGTGAGTCTACCCCAAGTCTTGAAAGCGACAGGGACGTTGATAAGGGTGACGCCTGATTCGAGGGTGAATGTGGGAAAGAGAAGGTATCGTTGTCGACCGGCTAAGAGGGAGGATTGTGGGGATGTCGGACCGGGCATTTCGAAGGGCGGTGGCAGGAGGTGGTCGTTTTCCGCCATCGCTAACACTTCCACTTGATGGTGACCAGTGGTAGGCGGTCTGTATGATGGTAGTCTGTGGAGAAGGGAAGGGTATCACGGGCATATCGGCAACCTTCGAGTTCTGATGACTCTTCCGTGGTCCGTGCATGCACAAAGCACGTGATCTGGTGTTTTTTTCTTAGACCTTGTTAGATCTTGCTGTGGGGAAACAATGTTAGATCCTGTCTTCTGTCGTGGCGCGGATAGAAAAAAGGAAACTGCGGAAGTCGGCAAACAGAATCCAATCTCGTTTCCGTTTCCTTTCAACCGCATCCAACTCTCACCATTCTCTTGCTCACCATTCTCTTGCTCACCATCACCACCATCACCACAGTCACACCCGCCAGGATGTCTTCCCATCGACCGGAGCCTCTGTCGCCAACACTAAGCGCGACATCAAGCACAGTCTCAAGCACAGCCTCAAGCACAGCCTCAAGCACAGCCTCAAGCACAGCCTCAAGCACCAGAACCGTGATGGATAGCCATCCCAACCCCAAATCGCTCATCAATCTCGGCAAGCAGCTGAAATACCTCTCTATCGGTTTCGTCCTTACTTGCTACTTTCAAGTATTGCCACACCTTTCGGATGCACTCTCGCTGGGAGTATGGAGCACACTTTCTGCGAAACTAGCTCTTCTCTCAATACTGCTACTGTTGGGGACGGTGGTATTCTTCACCTACATCATCCTACTCCCAGCACGAGGGCACAACATCAACTACCTGGACTGGAGAGGAGACCATCATCTCGGCACAGCAATCCCCCTCCTCACGGCGTGTATTATATTCGGATGGACAACGCTCCTCTTGACCCTTTCCCCCATCGGCGCTCCTGCTCCACCACCGACTACGATTCGACAACGTCTAGCTCAAGCAGCATCTTTTACCGGCCTCGACTCACTTGAATCGAGAATCCAGTCTTTGCCCAACTCGTATCTCTCCCCCACCACCACCACCACCACCTCGAAGCTTTCTAATGTTCTGGGAAAGAGTAACGATTGGGATAAGATCGCATCTTATCTCAGCTTACCCAATAAGAGTCCTTTAAGAGACTACTTTGTACAGTTGAGCCAAAGAGAAGACGATTGGGCTGCAAAGAATATTAAAGTGATCGGTTGGATAGGTGCCTTGTTGGGTAGTATCGGCGCTTATTTCTTCGTCTTTGGTGCAGTCGGCTTGATAGGGTTTCTTGCGCCAGATAGGAGCAAGGAAAAGCGTAATAAGCAGTTCTAACCTCACAACCCCACTCAGCCAGAAACTGTCAAGAAACATGTATCTTGGCCATATCAAACCAAGAATGTATCCCCCCCCCCCCCCAATACAGCTCATGCCTACTAAGACCCTCGAAGTATACAAGCCGAGAGGATGTGATAAGTGAGAGGGATATGAAAAAGTATTCCAGTGACAAGTGAGAGATACAAATACAGTACTCGAGCTTTTTCTTCTCTTTGTCAAACTGATCGCTAGTGTTCAGCCTTGCTCCTAGTCTGATTCCAACGTTTCCTCAACTTGCCGACTGCTTTCTTGCCAACCCTGTGGGTGAAGCTATCTTCTACAGTCTCACCCATTGCTTTTCTTCTTCTCCTCTTCATCCTCTGTCGAAACTGTCTCTCGATGAATTGGAAGATGAGCGCGTCGATGGCACCCTGTGCAAAGATCAACCATCTCGAAAGTTGGTGTAGCCAGTCGTGTGCGTTGCGGACTGATGCACCTGGATCTGCCAAGTCAACAAAGAGACGAGCGATCGAGATGGAGAAGAGCAAACAATACGCTGCTGGGTAGAGGAGAAGCAGCAAAGAAGCTTGTCGGTTCAAAGTGGACCCGATCGCATCGACGCCGTTTTCGTCAAGGGAAGAGGTGGAAGATGTGCCTGTATTAACTCCTGCTTCCTCCTTTGTAGACATGTTGTTGTTGTTCATGCCAGAGCGCAACTTTCTGCTGTTGCAAGAGTGATGCGGGTGTGCACCTCTAGTGACGTCCATACCCCAATTCCAATCATCGCCGAGAGCTTCATCAAAAGCTTCTTTGCTTGGCATATCGACCACCACTTCTCCTGCGAGGATCTGGACTGCACTTCCGCGGCGTTCAGCGCCAATGCTGTTGTTGCCACCACCGTTGCGTGCGCGTGCCATCTCATCTTCGCCCATAGCGAGGATGTCAGCCATACGTGCGTAGTTGCGTAGTGGAGCAGTGTAGTGTTTGAGATGTTCACGGGGTGGAGTGATCATGTCAAAGTCAGTCGCGTCTTTGCGTGGACGCATAGGGCGATTGCCAAAGTCATCGCTTTCCTCGCTCTCAGCATCGCTTCCTTGGCTCTCGGCATCGCTGCTGCTGTTGCCGCAAGGGCGGTATCGCGAGTCACCGAG